TTTTTAGCCACATTAGGATCATATAAAACTGTAATACAATTCATCTCAATATTAGGTTGTAAGATACAATCCTAAGATAATTGAGGACCTGATTAATGTTTCCATAATTCATTAAACAGAACTTAACCTATGCCATTAAAGTTGATTTCATTCAAATGCAAGGATTATCGTTATATAAATTATAGTTTGTATTCTTTAACAAATTCTTTAGGAGCCAATTATGGTATCATAATATCATCTATTTTAGTAGAATATTTAATTTCATATTATTGATTCTTTTAGAGCAATGCCATAATTATACAGGTTAAAGGAAAATCTCCAACTATGGCCATTAAATTGTTATAGCATAATTTAAATTTTTAGTTGGTAACATAATTATAGTAACCAGCACTCTTATGACCACTAAAGATACTTAAACCTTTATAAAATAGCCTTAATAAACATGCTTATATGTCTTCAGAATGTTCTGGCATTGATTATTGTTTCTTTAAAGATACAGTTCTATTCAATTTTAATTAATCAAGTGAACAACATTTATTAATGACTGAATATTCAGATACCTAAATAATGAGAAATTAATACATATTTTTAGGTTAAATCAATTATATATTCATTATAAGCTAGAATCAATATCATTTTTGGAATATTGATATTCTATAATCTACACCATTTTATTAATTCATTTTTAGAATTCTCTTATTCTTTTTCATCATCTTTAGAATTAATATCTTCAATAAAAATAATAAATTTATTTATTAATTAAATCCATGAAGTAATATCTCCCATTTTAGACCAATAATGATTTGATCTTATTATTGATTCTCTCTATTGATGAATTTGAAAACTTTTAAATGGATTCTTTTTACTTTCAACATTACCTTCTGATAGTATTTCACCATCTGTCAATAGTGTAGATATAACACTACTATAATAATGAAAAGTCTCATTTTCTGCTTCCAATAATGGTTCATAATATATCAATGGAATATAGTTTTATAATGAACTATATTCTGAGTCAACTACATTTTACAATTAATCTATTTAGATATTGAATTATTAAGCATAAAATTTAGTATTTTATGGATTAAAAGTGAATTCTTCATCAAAAATTAATTTATGTTCCTATAAATCTTTGAATTCATCAAATCCAAATAAATAAATAATTTTAGGATAATAACTAATTCTGTTACGAATGATGATATCATGTCTGCTTAGATTATATTATTTATAAACAATTGCATTATTTATTTCTTCTAAGAATGTTTTGACTGTAGTTTAATAACCCATATGTATAATTAATGATATTTTTGATTAAACATTTTACAAATACTTTCTTAGTTATTAATAATTTAATGTCAAAAATACCTTTCTTTTTCCTTTTTATTATGGATATACCATTTCCATTAATTGTTAACCAAATTATTCATAATATTATTAGAATGGTATTATTTGATGGACTTCAAATTCTTCTGATTGTGATAACTAATTATGAAAATAGATTGCTTAAAATATTTAATCCATTTGATATAATGATTCACAATAAACAACTATATCCCTATCAATCTCTGAATTAGAGTTTTTAATCTATTACAAAACATATGTCAATTTTTAATCATAAGATATACTTATAAACAATTCATCTTATTAAGTTTGCAAGTAAGGAATTTCAATAATGTTATCATAATCGATATTAAAATAATTAATTAATTGTTCATGTATTAAGTCATTTGATATAATGATCAATTAGGATTTTGTGGTTAGTAACTAATCATAATAATAATATATATACCCATTTTATTCCAATATATTAATATGAATTCAATTTAGTCTCTGCACGAAGATCTGCAACAATAATTTCGAAATTCTGGTTAACCAAATTACACCAATTGTAATTAGCATCAACTGTGTCTGATATCACAGTGATTGTATGATTTTTAGACAATAATTCTTTTATAACTTTTAGAGTGTCAATTTCCTATAGTGTATCAACAATAAGAGTTGTTTTTTGTAATGGTAATAGTGAATCAAAGATTTACCCCCATTATTATCTTAGAAAAGCATTGGATCTATCTTTTAGATAAATTTCTCTGACGAGATGTTATTGATTTTACATTTAAATATTTATGAGATATATTAATATTTTGCCAAGATATTTAATAATCATATTAGATCAATTTCCTTTTCTTGATAATCTTCTTTTGAAAGCTGTACCATAAAGTATATTCCCAAAACATGTTGCCACTATTTCTAATAAAACTGGTAACAAACTATATTGTCTTAAATTATTTTACATAAATGCCGCCCAATAATACCATAATTCATAGTAAGGCCATGCTCCTATTATAAACTCGCTGTAAATTATAATACCAACTGCATGTAAACATATAACTAATTGAAGTGAGATAACTTTTACTCAAAAAATTGCTTGTATCATAAAACATTGTAATTCCAGTAATAATGAATATCATCTCAATACCAAGGCCAATCAATCCAAGTATGATACATGAAACAATGGAGTTATATGCTGATATGTACGTATCAGAATTGGTGTCATATGTTTTGGTTTGAAAATTAGCCAAGATGTTTTCTTTCTAATAGATGAGGAGTTAGATACAGCTCCATAATAAGCCATTAATGATGTAATGAAATGGCAAGAAACTAGAATAAATTTGCTAGGTATCAATAACCCATTAATAGTCATTAAATTAATTTATAACCAAATATTCAAATCAACTCATGAGCTGTTTCATCTGATATTTATACATCATCATCTTTTTCTATCAAATCTTCATCAAACTTTTAATCTTATTATTCATTCTATTCTAAATCTATTGGTTAATATTGTTATTATTATTATTGTTATTATTACTATTATTTTGATTATTTTTATTAAATCTATTGGATCAACATCTAATTATAAATGATAATATTTATTACTTCTTATTTTGATTATGGTAATTCACGCATTTCTGTTCTAGCAAAATATTCTTTTACTTTCTCTTGATTATTATAAACCCAATATAATCCAAATAAAACTCCTCCAATTATTAACCAATCATATATCCAATTCTTATTATTCGGACAACTGAATCTCATTGAAATATGTTCTACTCCACCTTCACAAATATCTCCTGCTATTTTTCTATATCCACTTGAAACTGTATAATATCCATCGCATTCAGCAGGTGGATCGATATTTAAAGTACCATTTATTGGAATACATTACTAATTATTCATAACAAATCCTAAATCACATTCGTAATCTTCTTATGAGCATTAACAAGGAGTAACACTAATAATTCTTTCCAATTATTCTGGATTATAACAAGCAGCTTCTCTACGTTTTCTCATATAAGTAACCTTTTTTCCAAATAAACATTCTGGATTAACTAGACCAGAAGGTGTCCATAATTCATAATCACTTCCAATTTCACCTGCTTTTTCTTATCCTATACAATTTCTCTGATGTAATTCATCTAAATCAATGGTTGCCAATAATCCCTATTCAGTTCTAATGCCATTAGATTCTAATTAAATAGCTCCATAAGCTATAAATCTAGTTCCTTTATTTTAAGGTTCAGTAATAATATTTTAGATTTCTGCTTTCTAATCCAATATATTGAATGGAGTCCATTCCATACCACCATTCCAAGAATATACAATCTAATTAGTTGTTTCTTAATCTTTAGCCATAACAATTAATCCTCCATGATTACTAATTTCATAAATATAAGATCCTTTTTTTATTTCAATCCAAGTCAATCCTCCATCTCTACTTAGATATGTATGAACTTAATCTTATCTATAACTTAAATATTTTCCAATAGAACCTGTTGCTACAATAATACCAATAGAATTAGGTTAAGTGTAAATAGGTGCGAATTAATAAAATGCTTAACTAAGATGCAAATGCAATTAGCACTTATTGCAATTAATTGGTTTTCCATCGGCATCAACTGTGGGAGGCTAATGAAGATAGAAATTTAATTAATACCTTCAAAGGGACCCATTATCCTCCCTTATCAAAAGTAATCCTGGTTTGTTTATATTTCTTTAGATCTTCATCTTTAAATCCATTTTATTAAGAGTAGAAGCCTTCTTCCATAGATTCAAAGACTTAATTTGTATATATCTTAGCTTAATCTTCAGCATAAACATTAGCTAAGTAAATGCCTTCCAATCCTTAGACTCTATAAAATTCAGCACTGTTTTCCAACCTTGAAACATTCTCCAAGGATCTAGAATATCTAGTACCAGTAGAATCACTAATATAAATAACTCCTAATGGAGAAGATGGTTTGAGATGATTAACAACCATAAAAACTTAATTTTCTGAAGTGTCTAATATGCTATATGAGTGTTCTAATAGTTTAGAATCTGCGTCAATTATACTATATTTATATTAACCTAATTCTGTTCCACTCACATATAGACTGACTTCTTATGTTACTTAAGATGTAACTTTAGCAACAAATAAGAAGGATTCGGTAAGCATAAATTTAGAACCTGCAGGGACACTTAAAGTACGAGTTTGGAAAAAATCATCACTATAATATAGATTATAATCCATATTCCAACTGCTAATTGATTAATGTCCTTTGCCTTATGGTTCAAATGATGCTAGAATTCGTTCCTTAGGAGTATATTTAGCCATTTCTTTATTTTTGACACCCCAAGTAAATTGATTTACATAAGTTGCTATTTAATGCCATGTAATTCCTGTGTCTTAACTTAAAAGAAGTTCCTTATAAGAAACACAAGGTGTTCCTGCAAGTAATTCATCAGATCCACATTATTTCCATGCTGATGCAATAATCCAATCTTTTTCAAGTGGATGAAATTGATATTCTCGCAACTATTTACCAGCATTGACAGCTGTTATTGTTTTTCCACAATCAAGAGAAATCCAAGCAATTTGATCTGTTCCTGTAAATAATACTAATTATTTATCTACAGGACTAAGAACAAAATTATTTACAATTCCTACTCTTTCATCTGAATCTTCAAGTTAAATAAGAGCCTTGCGATGAAATATCTCAGACATTTTAGTCCATTATCTACCGCGATCATCACTTCTATATACAGATCCTTTAGATGTGAGTGCTAAGACAGTATCACTACACCAATGTATGTTGATCAAGGGGGCATCTATATATGAGATCTAAACATCAATATTGGAAGCAAAGCATTGCATGATCAACAAGAGAATGATGTGTCTCATTAACACGTTTTATTATTTTAATTAATTTGGATTTATTTATTAACCTCATACTCATAATTATGATTAGCATTATCCAGCACGTTTACAATGGCAAGATGATCCTTTGCTTAAGACAATCTTCTTAATATCATCTAAATTGACCTTCTTTTCCTTTAAATCCTCAGCACTTGGCATAACATTCAATCTTAATGCTTCAGATATAATCATTTAAGCCTTAAAAATAAATAAAAATATCATACATTAGGAGTATTCATACTAGCAGAAGCTACAACACGTCCTTTTCTAGCATAATAAGCAACAAATTTTTATTGACTTAAGTCTCCATCCACAATAACTTCATCAAATCCTTATCCAACTCCACTATATGCTAAGGTTCTATCCCATTATCTAGTCCAAAAGAATGGTACATCTGTCAAAGGAGTTGGTCTACCTAAAATATTCAAAGCAGCAACATATCTAAAATTAATTAAATATCTTACCCTTATCTAACAGCTTCATTTTAATGTTCAATTCTAACATGTTCACCAGTAACCCAATATGGATAACTTGAAATATCACCTGATGCATAAACATTCTTGGCAGCTTTCAAGAACACATCTGTTTCAATACCACCATTTGGAGATATTTTTAATTAATCTTTAGCAAGTTTATTATTTGGTTGAATTCCTGTTCCTAAAATAACTAAATCTGCTTATAATGATTTTCCATTTAATAAATCAACTCTTTATACTTAACCAACTCCACCAATTCTTTTGACTCCAGCATTCAATTCAAATTCAACTCCATTAGCTTCATGTAATTTTTATAAAGATCCTCCTACTTCTTTACCAAGAACTCTCTCAAATGGAACAGATGTACTATCTACAACTATTATATTGACTTAATCTTTTAATTCTTTTTTAATAGCTGAAGCTGTCTCCATTCCAATAAATGAAGCACCTACAACTACTATATTTTTTGCTGTCTTTGCTTTATCTCTTATTGATTATAAATCATTGAATTATCTTAAAGTGTGTACATTTCCTAAATTAACTCCATCTAATTGAGGTCTACGAGCAGTACCACCTGTTGCCAATAATAATTTATCATAATGAATTTTCTCTTATCCAACAACAACATCTTAATTATTAATATCAATTGAGTCAACTGTAGTATTAGTCTTTACATCTATTCCATACTATTCATAAAATGATTAGGGTCTAATTTACAAACCCTATTATTTAACCATAAATGTCATCTTGCTCATAGGAGTTCTATCATAAGGTAATGAATCCTCAGCTGTAATAATAGTAATTCTTCCTCTAAATCCAGCCTAACGAAGTGTCTCAGCTGCACTCTAACCAGATACTCTTATAAATTTAATCAATAATTATACCCTCCACCAACAATCACTACATGTGTTGGATCATCACCTTTTGTTACCATATTTAATGTTCTTGGAGCATTTAATAATGATTTTTCTACTCTTATAACTAATTATCCATTTTCTTATTTGACAGGGAATGTTTATAATCCTCTAAACATTGGTCCTTCTTCATGAGCACCATCTTTAACTGAAAAACTGGCATTATGAAATGGACATTTGACTTTATCACCAACTAAGAATCCTGCAGAAAGTGGAGCTCCTACATGTGGACATGAATTAGAAACACAATAGATCTGTCCATCAACTTTGCATACTAAAACAGCATCTTCTTTTTTTGGACCAACTTATACTTCTCTCATTTCTCCTTCGGTTAGATTATCTTCTATTGAAACTTCATAGGCATCATTAAGATTTAGTGTCTAATCTATATTGGATCTCATACTTAAAAGCCATATCTTATTAGTGGAAGAGATATTAAAGTAGCTGCTAAACGTTATGTACGTTTTGGAACTACTAATGGAGTACGTCTAAGACTTATTGCAATTGCTGAGGATAATATCTTTCTCATAAAAATTTAATTAAAATTGTGTAAACTTAGTATATAATATAAAACGATTCATGATTATGCTAAACTATACAACTAGATATTGCAATCGTTCTTATTTCCACTACTCAATATATCAATCTTATCAGTGATACTATCTCTAATAGCCAATACTCCTCCAAATGGATGACAATCATGTAAAGATTTCAGTTGGGTTGTGATCATAGGTTATGGACTAATTACTTAATTATAATTAAATACTTATCATTCAATAGAGTTTTGCCATTGAATACTTTGAAAGTGCCATCAAAACTAACAGTTCCAATGAAGCAGTTTTTAATGCATTCATATTCATTTTATGTTTACTTTTTTCTTCTTGGTGATCCACATAATGGAATTGATGTTTAGAGTTATGTTTTCTATTATGGAGTCTATTCCTCTTCTATTTAAAAGTTGATTATTCTGAAACACCACCCAGCATAATTTTTAACTTGTTTTATTAATGTTCCATCCATAAAATCCCAAACCTTAAGTTCACCTGAAGCACTACTACTATAAAGAATGTTTCCTCCACCATAAGCTAAACTAGTAACCTCTGTTGGATGAGCATCAGACAAACTCATAGACAATTATAATTTTTCAAATACATTATTTGTGTATGTCTATTTATATACTTTAATGTTTCTATCCTTTCCACCAGATGCGACATATTAATCTCCAAGTAATGTCATACANCCTCCACCAACAATCACTACATGTGTTGGATCATCACCTTTTGTTACCATATTTAATGTTCTTGGAGCATTTAATAATGATTTTTCTACTCTTATAACTAATTATCCATTTTCTTATTTGACAGGGAATGTTTATAATCCTCTAAACATTGGTCCTTCTTCATGAGCACCATCTTTAACTGAAAAACTGGCATTATGAAATGGACATTTGACTTTATCACCAACTAAGAATCCTGCAGAAAGTGGAGCTCCTACATGTGGACATGAATTAGAAACACAATAGATCTGTCCATCAACTTTGCATACTAAAACAGCATCTTCTTTTTTTGGACCAACTTATACTTCTCTCATTTCTCCTTCGGTTAGATTATCTTCTATTGAAACTTCATAGGCATCATTAAGATTTAGTGTCTAATCTATATTGGATCTCATACTTAAAAGCCATATCTTATTAGTGGAAGAGATATTAAAGTAGCTGCTAAACGTTATGTACGTTTTGGAACTACTAATGGAGTACGTCTAAGACTTATTGCAATTGCTGAGGATAATATCTTTCTCATAAAAATTTAATTAAAATTGTGTAAACTTAGTATATAATATAAAACGATTCATGATTATGCTAAACTATACAACTAGATATTGCAATCGTTCTTATTTCCACTACTCAATATATCAATCTTATCAGTGATACTATCTCTAATAGCCAATACTCCTCCAAATGGATGACAATCATGTAAAGATTTCAGTTGGGTTGTGATCATAGGTTATGGACTAATTACTTAATTATAATTAAATACTTATCATTCAATAGAGTTTTGCCATTGAATACTTTGAAAGTGCCATCAAAACTAACAGTTCCAATGAAGCAGTTTTTAATGCATTCATATTCATTTTATGTTTACTTTTTTCTTCTTGGTGATCCACATAATGGAATTGATGTTTAGAGTTATGTTTTCTATTATGGAGTCTATTCCTCTTCTATTTAAAAGTTGATTATTCTGAAACACCACCCAGCATAATTTTTAACTTGTTTTATTAATGTTCCATCCATAAAATCCCAAACCTTAAGTTCACCTGAAGCACTACTACTATAAAGAATGTTTCCTCCACCATAAGCTAAACTAGTAACCTCTGTTGGATGAGCATCAGACAAACTCATAGACAATTATAATTTTTCAAATACATTATTTGTGTATGTCTATTTATATACTTTAATGTTTCTATCCTTTCCACCAGATGCGACATATTAATCTCCAAGTAATGTCATACATGTTATAGAATCTCTATGTTCAAAGTATTTTTTTTATTAATCATTCTAAGTATTCCATTATAATAATCTATTATCACCTTATGCACAACTAAATATAGTAGTGGCATCTTCTAAACAAACAATAGAATTGATTTAACCATTATGAATTCTATCAATTGATTTAAGTACTTCGAATCCTTAATTCAAAATACAAATATCTTTGAATAATCCTACAATCAAAAAAGAAGAACCATCCTTTCTTATCTAAACAGCCAATGATGTGACATCACTCTTAAATTATATTTCCTTAAATATTTCATAAACTCTGTATCTATATATTTTGACTGTTCTATCATTTGAACCTGTAGCAATAAAATCATCATCAAATTGTACCATACAATTAATACCTTATTTATGAGTAGTCTTGATTGTTTTCACAAATGATATTGATGTTATTGGATCAGATATGATTAATTAAGTAGTTTATCTCAATCTATGTTTTAATTACATTTCTTTTATTTCATCCTCATCTTCTTCTAATTTAGTTAATTATTTTAATGTTTTAGTGCTTTATTCCTTAATTATAGTTTCCAAGTATTTTGTACCTTTAGGAGATGCCAATTATTGTTTTAAACTTACATTTTCTTTGTTCATTTTAATCATTTAACTCTTGTAGCCTGGAGACATAAAATCTACTTATGTTAAAGAATGATAACATTTATCTATTAACTCTTACATTCCATTATATGTTTATTACGCTAATCCTTAATTTTTATAACAAGGTCTACTGTTAAGCAATACTTTATAATCATTAACTAAATCATTTAATACTTAATTATCACTCTATTTCAATGCCATATTACTGAATAATGAATATCCTGATTTTTGAGACTCTCCTTCTTCAACATTTAAATTTTACTATTATAATGCTCTTTAAAACTGGCCATTTGCCTTACTAACCAATGGTATTATATTCTACATTAATTTTCTAAGATTAAATTAATTTTGATCACTTTTCTTATTAGAAGTTTATTGATCTTATAATTTACTTACTTCACTTAAGAAATTATCATAATCATTATTGTAATCCTTATTTTTCTCTAAATAATAATCAGATACTAATTTTTCTAATATAGTTCCCATATCCATAAGATCTTATAAATAATTTTTATATGGAGCCATAAATTCAGCTTTGACTTTATTAATCATTTCTGTAAATTTAGCTACTAATCCATCAAAATCATTATTAATCAATTATTCTTAGTTTTTAATATATGTTTTAAAGCTAGCTTAATGAGCTTAGGTAGAAAGTACTATTTAATTTAATTCTTTTTATGGCTCGTCTCCCAATCTACCTGATACACTTTACCTTCTACAAAGAATCATTAAGTCATTCCATCCAATTATATGTTCTTTATGCTTAGCCAAATGTTGTTAATGCTAAGTTTCAAAAAGACATTCAGAACAAAATGAAATTGATTATGTACAAGATGTACATAAACAAACATGAGAGATGTTAAAAGAAGGATGTGATGGACAAGGAAGGCTTCCTTAGCTAGCTTAATTAATTTGTGTTTTTGTTCTTAAAGTAGCAAAACTTGATCTTGTTTTATTCATATTTTCCGTTAATAAATAAATAATTAACTTTTAAGATTAATTTCTGAATGGTTTTATTAAACATTCATGATTAAAATACAAGTACTTGGGAGGATGGTAATAAATAATAAAAATTTATTTTCTATTGTATTTCATATACTTTGATCAAAAAATTAAGTCAATTATTAATCAGAGACTTATTATATATAATAAATTTTACATTATTATTATTAATTATGGGTTATTTTGATTTAATTAATCAACCACTTAATGAATTTGGAGAGGAATTAACAAGTAAATTTATTGATCCAGCTAAGGACTTAAGACAGACATTGTGACCAACTTAAAGCCTGAGTCAAGATTTAATGTTTTGGTTGGACTATCAGTTGTTAATTTGGCTATTGGTGTAGCAGTCAAAGGAATTAAATCAAGACCCCTTTAAACTGGTTTCATCAGTTTCTTTGGATTTGGTTTAATTATATATCCAGAGCTATACTTTGGATTGATCAGATAAAAAAAGGTGTAGCAATAAATAACACATCATTTTATTAAGAGAGATTGAATTATTATAAAATACAAAATATGATCTTCAAGTTTTTCTTCTTTTGAATTTCTCATGGTATTTCATTTATTTTACCTTATTTAATAAATCTACCTTAGAGGTTACTCTTCTTCTACTCCATGACTTTTTAATTTTATTTGGAATTATTAATTTTACTTAATCATCAGCTATCAGTTCCACAGACAAATCAGAAAAAGCATAATCTTTTTTGAGTGGACTTAAGCTGTTTTCATTCAAACTACTATTAACTCTTCTTGTAGTATCATTTTTTTCACTCTTATTTATGTAAATCCAATCTTACGTTTTAAATTAACCTACAATTCGTAAAGGACGAGAAGATTATTGATCAGAATATGAGGAAATCGAGCTCACAGAATCCTGAACTTATTTAGGATGTTCAAAAATTGCTCTTTTTATTGAATTGCAATCACTTTCTAGACCACAATTATTTTACTTTTGTTAAGATCCGATTGATAAACCTGTACATGCACAACCCATATAATTAAATTAATATCATAATTTGATCTGATTTTATTGTGAATTTAATTTTTCTTAAGAATTATGAAATAATGTAAGTAGAATAAGATTAAATATGAAAACATCTTTTATATTTCCTACAATTAAAACATATCTAATTTTGCTAATAAAATTTCCCTAATTAGATTTTTTTGTTAAAATTAATGAATTAGATTTATTAAATGTATTTAACCTCTAATTTATAGAAAAAAATAAAATTTCAATGAATGAGCTTTTTCAATTAAATTCGTATATTACTATCAAATTGATCAAGAAAATACAGTAATTTATAAGCTAATTATATTAATCTTCAATTAGGTATTTTAAACAATATTTAATTCTAAAACGAATCAAATTAATTTTAAAATATTGAAAGTAATAATTTTAATTAAAAAAAAAGAAATTTATTTACATTTCCCACTAAAAAATTTAATAAAATAAAATCAATCGATAAGATTGTGAGCTAGCTTAAATTATTATTATTCATATTAGTGTTGCTCTTAGAGCTTTTGAATTCTTTATTGAGCTTTCTATCTTTCTAAACTCTATAATTTTTCCAATTTAGCTCTGTTTTCAGATTTACAATTTCTCAATTTATCATCTCTTCTATTTTCATTTGCTTATTCCTCCATAAATACTCTCATAATCTCTTAGTTTTATCTTTAAATAATTTAATTAAGTTCAAATAACACTTCTGGACTTGGTGGATCAGCTGGTTTTTATTTGATTATATCTTGTTTTTTAGCTCTTTTTGGAGATTTTTTTTATGCTTATTTATATTAATAATTATTTACATTATTGTTATTATGGTTATTATTATAATAATTATGCTGATTCAACAGATTTTGTATTTGCATGATTATTCAATGTTTCTTATAATTATGGGGAAGATGAATTAATTTCAGGAAGTTTATCTTAACCTTTAGATGATCTTATAGTACTAAAAGGTTTAGTTAATGTCATTAATTTTTTATTATTTTTATTTATGGATTAAGATTGGGATTTTCTAGCAAAATTCTATTCTTCTTGAGTTGATTATTTTAAATCAGTTGTTGTAATGCCAAATTATTTTTAGATTTCTGAAGGAGGTATCTTTCCTTCTCTAATTTTCTCTAATTTCAATAAGAGATCTCTTTTTTGTTTATCAATTTCTCTTCTCATATTTTATCTTTATATTAATAATTATTCTAAATCTTCTTATATTTTATCAGCTCTTTCCATCTTTTCATTTAATTTTTCTTATAATTTCATTCTATCATATTCTTATTTTTTCATAATTCTTTCAACATTATCTCTTTTGTCTATTCTTTTTAAAGTATCTTAATTTCTTTTATCTGTAATTTAAATAGATCTTTCAAATTATATTTTTTATAGATTATCATCTTTTTCTTAAAACTTTTTCAAAAAGTCTTCAATTCTTTCTTTTTATCTTTGCTCATTTTATAATAATACTTAATGTCTTTATTATTCTTTTTCATGTTCTTCTTATCTCTTTTTTTCTTTTTCTTTTTCTTATTCTTTTTCTAATTACTTTCTTCTCTCTTCAGCTTCATCTATTTTTTTTAAATATTCTTTTTTTTTCTCTAATTCCATTTATTCATTTTATTCAATAACTTTTCTTATCATTTCTGCATGTTATTCAGCTTCTATTTTTTATTATTCTAATTTTTTTCTTTTTTCTTCTTCAAATTATAATCTTTTTTATTCACTAATTTATAATTTTTTTTCAACATCTTCTTTAACTCTTAAAACTTCTTATTCATTTCTTTCTTTTGCTTATTTAATTCTTTCTTCATTTTCTATTCTTGCCTTTTCAGCCTCTTGCTTTTTCTTTTCTTTTTATTCTTCCATCATTTTTTTTCTTTATTCAGCCTTCTCATCCATCTCTATTTTTCTTTTTTCTAATGCTTCCAATTATAATCTAATATTTTCTTCATTTAATTTTCTTAATTTTTCTTACTATGCCTTCTTTTCCTCCTCTTTCTTTTTGTTTTCTTCTTCTCTTAATCTCTGTTTTAATTCCTCTTATTTAATACGTTCTTGTTCTTTAGATTCAAGCAATTTCATTCTTTCCTTCAATGCTTATTCTTCTTGTTCTTTTTTTTATTACTTCTGCAACTCTTTTTGTCTCTTTATTTCTTCTTATTAAGCTCTTTTCCTTTCCAATTCTAATTCTCTCTATTTCTACTTAGTCCTTTCATCTTACATCTTCTTTTCATTTTATTCCTTAATCTCTTATAATTTTAATTCGAACTCAAGCATATTTTCAATCTCTTTTTGTTATTTCTTTTTGATCTTTTCAATTTATTGCCTCTCTTTCTCAATTAAAGATGAAGCATCTTATTAAGAATATTTAGAAATCATTTTACTCTTCCCTAATCCATCAGGACTCCACAAACCTAAATATAATTGTTACACTATTTTACCAGTCTTTTCATCTTCTAAAACTATATGTCTTTATTTAATAAGATCTCTGTATTTTTCTTCCCTCTTCTCTTCAAAATGTTTATAATAAGTCTCTATTCCTTTAGCATCCAAATTGGATAGTCTATACTTTTTTTGATATTCTTCGAATGAAACTTTAACGATTTCACCAGGACTTATTCCTTCCCTTCTACAAGCCTCTAAAGATCTAGGTGTGTTAACTTCAGGAGCATTGGGCTAATGAAAACCGAAATCTTAAAGGGACACTTTCATTAAAATAATTATTAAAATATAAGTCATATACCAGTCTCATCTTCTCTCTTTGTCAAAACCTCATATCCATTTTCAGTTATTAAAATCATATGTTCCCATTAAGCTAACATTATAAATAGTTAACAATACCACTAGGATTATCTGGAGATACAACAGTAAAATTATCTTTCCACATTAAATATTAATCATGACGCATCAAAAGAATAGGTTCTATTGTAAATACATTTCCTGGAACCATTACACCTGGATAATCATTGACTATATATATATATTAAATATTAAATTACAATTGTGAATTATTGTTGGAGGCATGTGCATCAATTCACCAATTCCATGTCCTGTAAATAATTCACAAACAGTAAATCCTTCATCTCCAGCAACTTCTTCAATGATATCTCCAATTTTACTAAATTTCTATCCCGGCTTACAAATTTTAATCGCTTCATAAAGAGCCTATTCTATTTGTGGAAATAATTTATAACTTTTTGAGTTGTATCTATTAATTTAGTAATTTCTGGATTCATTTCAGGAACCTATGCCATAACACTAGTATCTCCATGCACTCCATCATAAAATATTGTCACATCAATATTTAAGGAATCTCCACCATCTAAAGGTCTGAGATTAGGTATTCCATGACAACAAACTTCATTCACAGAAGTACAAACACTCTTAGGAAAACCCATAAATCCAATTGGTGAAGGATATGCATTTTGTGAAATAATGAATTCATGAACTATTTTATCTAAATCATCTGTTGTCATTCCCTATCTGACAGATTTTTGTGCCACATAAGCAGTTGTAGCAGCTATTTATGCTGCTTTTCTTAATTCTAAATATATATCATGTTTTTACTTTAGATCATATCTTAACTATGAACTACAGGTGCTCCTTCATATATCCCATATACAGGCTTTGCGTCACCTATTATACTAAATTGTTCTCATACTTATATAACTTGGTCTTGGAATATGTGAAGGTACTGCTCTTGCAGGAACTACACCATATTGACCCTAATTAAAATTTATAATAGATACCTCTATGATTGGTTTACTAAAGTATTTTATATGGCTTCTTTTTCTTTATTTCATCCTTCCGATTTGACTAAATTGGTATTGTTTGCTAATTCTCAACAACATGAATTTAATTTATATAATTTTTAATTGCAATTCCATGATTTTTTGACAATTTATGCTTAATCTTTCAAATTAGAAACACTTAAATAGTATTAATAAATTTATTCATCAGATAATGATTTGATATAGAATATAGGAAATAAAATAACAAAAAGAGAAGAATTAATCAATATTGATATGTAAATGAAGGGAAAATATAAGATGATGCTTTGGTCAAAAACTTAATTGGAAAGAGATAGTATTACCTTAGAGAAAGTAAAAAATAATTCTATTTTTTATTTGATTCAAATGAATAAATATTAAATCAACAATAGAGTATCATACAATCATTAAGTAAATTTGAATAGATTATTGCAATTTATTGTTTAAATGTTCAACATTTATATAATATATAATAGATTTGAGTTATGTGAATATCAAATAGAATGCTTAGTGGATTAATTTTTGTTGGAGTCTTGGTTTTAGGTAATTTATTATTATTTTCTTGTTTATTTTATTAATGGAAATTATAGATTGTATAAATTAAGATATTTGAAATGTTTTAATGAGTAGAAAGGTGTTTATTAAAAAAATAGTTTTGATATAAATAATAATAATGTATCAGCTTACAAAATAATTGGTTGATTTTCGTAGGAATCAATTTCTAAACTAAGGGCTTTAGACAGAATTCACCATTCAATCTGAAAATGCGTATTGATATTATTTGAATGTATAGAAATAAATTAGTGAGTGTGGGATCACAATTAAAAAATCTAAACAATATTGAGAAGCAACGTTATTTAAGACCTGATTCATCTTATGATGAGAGTTCAGGGGAATCTAGTGTTATGTGTGAATAGATTCGTTAAAAAAGATTAAGTGTAGAAGATGTTATCTCGATGGTAATTGATTCAGAATGCAATTAAGCCATTAAACTAGAGCCTAAACCCTTTTAGAAAAAGTAATATAGAAAACAATAATTAGCAATCGAGTAGATCAAGAGTGGGAGTCAGAAAAAACAATAATAATTATGGATGTCGATGAGGAAGCCGTAAACAATCTAGACTTAAATGAATTTTTTGATGAATAGTATACAATTTTATGAATTGCGGTTTAAGGATAAGCACTTCATATAGTTTAAACGAGTTTAGCTTGGCAGCTATGCAGGCAAGCTATCAATTATTATACGTATGAAGGATGACAAAGGAGCTTAATATGTGTATTACAATCTAGTGACTTCATCTCATAAATACAGGAAGGCATTTGGTGAAAATATAGAAGTATTGATTCATCTAATTATTAACTAGTTTGCTTAACTAAAATATATTGATAAATAGGTCAATAAAAATTAGATCACTGTTGTCATGAGATTCTTGCCGATAAATTTTAATAGTGAAAAGTTAGAAGCCTTATAAAACATAAGAAGTGAGGAGTTATTTACATGTATTAATTAATTTAATTTGATAGATTAAGGATTGAAGTATGGTATTTTTAAGACTTCAGATTATGAGATTGCTGGAAACATAAAGAAGAAAATATTAAGGTATTAATGGGATTTATATAAAAATAAGTTATTTCTAAAACAAAAAATATAATGATATTCACATTACAATAAAGGCTAAAAAGAAATCTACAAAAGAGAAGGTCAAGGTATTTTTAGAAGAAGAATCATACAATCCAAGATCTTAATTAGAATAAAAGATTGGAATACCTTTAAGTCCAATAAAAGTACCTCCACTTGTAGTAAAAGAAATTGAACAACCAAAAATCAAACCTACAGTTTTATAACCCACAATTTGTGCTATGTAATTATTAGTTTTGATTTTTAGATAAATTACTGTTCCATAAGTACAAGTAAATTAAATAAAGCCAGTTGAAATTAAACCTACAATTATAGAATAAAGTGAATAGAAAGTTATAGTAAGGGCTGTTTAATTAAAGCCAGTCACATTAACAGTAGATAGAGAAAGAAGCTCAAGGAAAAAATGACTTAATAATAATAATAATAATAATAATAATAATCAATATTAATATTAGATCAATAAATATTTAAAATAATTTTTATAAATATCAGTGTGTTCCAATTTAACTTGCATCGAATTTATATTTCTTCAAAACTGGATCAATATTACCCCATATAGTTAATGATGGTTATTTACCTAAGATCCAATTTTTGACACAATTTTAAATATCTAATTCTGTCACATTAGCTAAATTTTATGCTATTTCTTATCTATAAACTCTTCTATCAAAATAAAGAAGTTAATTTGCTATAGCTTATGAGATATCATTTCCTGTTTCATGTTAACATAATTCAATGAATAATCTTCGCTTTGATCTTTACAATTCTTCAGATGATACTTTCTCTCCATATTCTTCAAATATTTTCTTAGAAACCTCAATACAAGAATCCAATTAATTAGGATTTACTACAAAATAATTACCAAATAAAGCTGTATCTTTATAAGGAGTATATACTGCCTTTTAAGTAGTAATTTCTGGATAATTTAATAATAATTTTTAAAATGAATTAAGAGTTGATTACTCAAATATGGCTGCTTCTAAAAAGTTTGATGGTTTATCTCCTAAAAGTCTTTATAAAATTAAAAAATGATAATAATGAGGATCTGTCCATTCTGGTCCTTAATAAAATAAACCTACATTAATATCTTCTGTCAATTCACTTTACATTAAAAATACTTCATTTTAAAAATTGACTGGTACCTCTTTTTTCAATTATTACTTTTTCTTATGAACTTTACTAAAATGTTTAGTAACATATTCACATAATTGTTCTTATTATATATTACCAACTCCACAAATAATTAAATTTTCACCATAATAATTATTTTAATGATATTCACTGATCATATCTCTTGTAATTGAATACATATTTTATATTTTTCCTAAAATTGGTAATGACATTTAATGATTTTTATAAGCCTTTTAATTAAAATTCAATCATTACTGAACGATGAGATATTTCAATCTAAGTTTCAAACTACATTTTTCTAGTTTCAAATAATTCTCTATAAATAGTATGTCTTTCTCTTTCTACATCAGATTTTGCATAAATTGAATTGGTAAGCATATCTCCTAATATTTCAACAGCATTTTCAGCTTTATTTTTTTATGCATTTATTGTATATGATGTATTTTCTCTTGAAGTATATGCATTCAATTATCCACCAAAATTTTCTACATCACATTCCAATCTATCTCTACTTCTTTTACCAGTTCCCTTAAATATATATTGAATAAATATACTACCTTAAAATGTAAATGTTCTAAAAAATGAGCAGTTCCACTTGTTGCCTCTGTTTCATTTCTACTTCCACATTTAATATATATTGTAATACTTTAATCTTAATAATTATAATTACTGTGCTAAATCAGATGGCCAAAATTCTGTGCAAACTCTAATTCCATTAGACAGAATTGTGTCTCCAAATTCTCTATCTACACTTACATTTTATGGAATTTCTTAATGTCTAAATTATTTCAGATTATAAAGTGTACTAAAACCCTTTTATAACACTTTCCTAATAATCATAATTATATTTAATTTAATTATTTTTGTAATTAGTTTTAATTAGAGACTTACTTAAATCCAAAGTTTTTGAATTAGTAATACTTTTAATATTATATTTAATTATATTCCAATTATTTATTATGATTTATATATCAATTATTTTTATTAAATTAAATGTAAAATGATGATTAATCCTCGATACCTTAATTAGAAAATAATTTTTAGGATCAAGAAGTATGCAAGATTTCAATTACTTTAGTTAAGTTCATGGATTAGAGATTGCTTTATATAGTAATTTGATATTGAAAAAATCTTATATAGATTGGATTATGATAAAAATATAAAAAAGTAACTCAAATATTTGAATCCAACTCATCAATTATTTGATTATTACTATTATTTAATTTAAACTATGAGTGAATTTGTCAATACAAATTAAAATATAAAGAAATACTTAGAATATATTGTATAATCTTAAAGCTTTTAAAATTAAATTTCTGAAAGATGCCATTTAATAATAACCTAAGCAGAATCAATTGATAATTTAGAGTATTAAATTGAATAACTCTTTTAAATATTTTTTCTTCTTAAAGATATTGATATGAATATCTTAAAGTAGTCTAATATTTCTTAAATATTTACTTTATAAAAGATTATTGAAATTAATTTCCCTGAATGTAATTACAATGCATTATTTTAAAATTTTGATTAATTTTTATGCTTATTGTAAGAAAGTGCTGAAATGTAAAAATATAATAATATTCCATCCTATCCATAACCATTAGAATTTATATAATTTGGAGGTGAAAACAAATAAATGTTTGGGAAAACTACAAATCCTTTTCAAAGCTCACTAGACAATCTCTTTAATGTTTTAAGAGAAGACTATATTTATAATATAAGGAATGATATTAATTATTTATCTGAAAAAGGATTTTATAAAACTATTGACGTTTATAACATTGATTTATATCAAGATATCAGATTAATATCATTTGAGATTAATAATTTTGATATTTTATGGAAAATATCTTTAAAGTAATTTAATTTAGATGGAAGAATAATTAAATTAATTGACTGGAATTATTCAAAAAAATTACAAATAGGTTCTTTGATATGTATCACCAATGTTGAATGTCATCCATTACTTTTTGGTATAATAACTCATAGAAGTTAAAAATAAGATGATTACGACATAGAATAAAGAATTAATTTATAATTTCGAATTTTGGGGTCTAAATCTTAAATAATGGAATTCTTAAATTTATTATCTTAATAAACAATTTTCATGGAATGTAAAACATCTATGTAAGCAGAATCTTTAATTTATTAATTAGAATCAATAAAAAAAATAAAAAGTTTGGATTACTTATATATTTTCGCCTAAAAGAATTTATTTTTTGAATATTCTTCATCAATTTTTGATATCATCCATTTAAATTAGAAGTGGCCTTCATTGATGTCTACTTTAGATGAATTTTAATAGAAAGCTATTTAATATATGGTTTATGAAAAATTAGCATTAATTTAAGGACGACCAGGCACTGGGAAAACTTACTGCGCAATTTTGGCTGTTAGAATTTTAATTAAGAGTATTTACAGAAAAAATTTGCCTATTATGATAGTTTGCTAGAATAATCATACATTAGATTATTTTTTAGAGAAAATAATTGAATATATTCCAATAAATTAAGTTGCTCGCCTAGGAGGGAGTTCTGAATCTGCTATTGTATAAAAATGTTTATTTAAAACTAGATCAAAAATTGATTTTGATTAAGTTGAATTTTAAGAACTTAAAAAATGTTTACACATAATTTTTAATAGATTAATTTAATATGATTATATTATCGATGCTCAAGATATTACTAGATTTTGGCCTTAATTAAAGGATAAACTTATAAATGATTTTCTACTTAAAATAGATTTGAATTATTCATAAATTGATGATGTGGCTTAAAATCAAGTCTTAAATTCTTGGATTAATGTAAAATAACTTAGTGATTCAATTCTTTAATTTGAAACTCAATTATTTAAAGTGCATTAGTATTTTCAAAAAGAATAAATTATTGAATAAATTGAATTAAATAATATTTTTGGATAGCAGAAAAAGTAATCTTTTAATTAATAAGATTAAGATCAATAAACCTAAAATTTTTCATTACAAAATGAGTCACCTACTTCTCCTTTTGAATAGTTTAATAGTCAAAACTAAAATGAATCTAATTTACACTATAACTTCAAAGGAATAGAAAAGATATAGGAGTGTTTATAAGACAAAACATTAAATTTTTGGGAACTTAATTATAATGATATTTGCGAGATAATTAAATATTTAAAGTATCTTAAATATTAGGAAGATTGTCTATTATTTGAAAAAACATATAGAAAATTTTAAAAAATGTCCTAAACTTTAAATGATCTTAATGATAGTTTTGATATTAAGAAACTTAATGAATATGAAATTATTGGAGTAACTTTTTCTGATGCAGCGTATTATAATAATATATTAACATAATTAAATTCAAAGGTATTGATTATTGAAGAAGCTGACTAGGTTTTAAAATCAGATATCACAACTATTTTGGCAAATAATATTAAAAGGCTAATATTAATAGGAAATCAAGTCGATTTAGAAGAATCATTAAAAAGATATAATTAAAAAAATATTCCCTTATTCAGAAGATTAACCCAGGATACTATTGTCATTAAAAAGAAAATCCCATAAGTCATTTTATCTACTTAAAGGAGAATGGAAAAAAGAATTAATGATTTTGTAAGTATATTCTACCCAAAAAATGATTTGGTTGATAAAAATTTAATATAAATACGTAACAAAAAAGGAATAATAGGGTTAAATTCTAATATTCTCATATTTAATCATTCTTAATTAGAACAAATAGATTCAAAATCAAAAGAGAATGCTGAAGAAGCTGAAATGATTTTTTAAATGGTTTAATATCTTATTTAAGTTGGATATAAGGAATCATAAATTACTATATTATCTATATTTTAAAAGCAAGTTCAAGGATTAAAGAAAAAATTTATGAACTAAAATTAATAATAAGTTAGGGTAGAGATAGTTGATAACTATTTAGGAGAAGAAAATGATATTGTAATAATTTCATTGGTTATAAATAATAATCATCATTTATACCAAAAAAAAAAAAATTAACAAAAAATTAAAATTGCATTTTCAAGAGCAAAATTAGGTCTATATGTATTTGGTAATTTTGATTAACCACTACCTTTAAATGTATTAATTAAAAATTTCAGAAGACTTACTTTTTTGGAGAAAATACTAACTTTAGCTTAAATTAAAAAATGTTACTCTGATACTATAACTTTAAAATGTAAGACTCATGGTAAATAAAGTTATGTACAAAAATCAAGTGATTGGTTCAAATTTAAAGCAGGTTGTTGTGATTAGGTATGTAATTAAAATTTAGATAAATGCAATCATACTTGCTAAGAAATTTGTCATTTAGGAAATCATCCTGAAAATAATTGCCAAGAATAATGTTAAAGAATACTTTAATGTAGACATAAATGTTAATAATTGTGTAGAGATTAATGTACCTGCACTTAAATGATTTATGTAACATTACCTGTTTGTAATCATAGAGCTTTAATTAATTGTGGATAAGATCCTGCAGAAGTGCTCTGCTTATAAGATTAAGAAATATAATTTCTTAATTGTAAACACCTAATTCATTATTAATGTTATTAAAGAGAAGATTTTTTATATAAATGTCAACATGCTTGTGACTGTCTTCTTTAATGTGGTCATTTGTGTTCTAAAAAATGTTGGGAAATTTGTTAACCTTGTGAATAAAAATGTGTAAAACGAAGGAATTGTGGACATTTAGATGAATGTTAAAATTTATGTTATTAATCATGTTCTCCATGTAATTAGAAGATTACTATTTAACTTGATTGTGGAAAACATAGTATTTAATAGAAATGTTTTCAAATTCAAAATCATATTATAAAAGAGATATAAGCCCCTCCCTTTTTCCTAAAGTCTAAAATTGGTAGTAATTACTTAATTTAGATAATGTAAATGTTAAAAAATGGGTAAAAAGAGGCAAATTTTATATTTAAATAAGTAGAAGATTATAAATGTAGAAATCCTTGTAAAAAACCTAGAAAGTGTGGTCATATCTTTGAATGCAAGAATTTTTGCTCTTAAGAATGTACACCATGTGAGCAAGTGATTACTCTCTCTTTAGTATGTGATCATAAATATTAGTTGTTGTGCAAAGACTAACATAATTTCTTATAAAATTAGTTACCTAAAGATGTGTACAAAATATTATGTTAATGTCAACATCAATAAAATTAATTAAGTTTTGAAGCCTGTTAGTCATGTAGATAAATAGTTATGAAATACATAGGTTAAAACTATTAATGTTAATAAGTGTGTAATAGAAAAAGATAATGTCATCATATAGATCCTTGTATTAATGAATGTGGCTAAAAATGCTCTCCTTGTTAATATATAATTAAAAAAACTTTAGATTGTGGACATGAATTACAGATTGAATGTTCCTCTGAGAATTTATAATGCAATAAACCATGTACTAAAATAAGGGAATGCTTACATTATTATCCATGTTCTAATTATTGTAGTTAACCTTGTAGTCCTTGTTAAGTGGAAATTTTAATAAACTTACCTTGTGGGCACTAAAAGCTTGTAAAATGTTATACTAAAGAAAATAAACAACAAAGATTAGTAGAGAAAGAATAAAATTGTGAATATTGTCAGAATTATTTTTGATTGTGGAAATATATATGTGTGATTTTTATTTAACTATTTTAAAATTATATCAATTCAATTTGAAAGGATGAATTATTTTGAATTTTATGTATTAATGTTGATTTTAATTTCTTATTTAATAGTGTTAATCATTGAGATAACTTTAAGATTATTAAATGTTTATGAAGCTAAATAGTTATTTACAATTAATTATTATAGTGTTAATTTGATTTGAGTTTCTTATTTTGTGATGAAAATTAAATAAATAAATAATTTGCATCAATAGTTGTATACTAATGATAGCTACTGAAATTTTATCTGATAAGGTATTAAATATGTTAATATCATCTTAGCCAGAAGACTAATATTAAAGACTAGAGAAAGCTGTAAATTTAATTAATGTATAATATATTAGATGATTGAATTGTTCAAATATGATAATTTATTAAATAATGAGTATTTAGTCAGAAAATTTGAGACTGATATTATGAAGCCTGAGTGGTATTTACTACAATATGTTGTGGTATAGAGAGAAAATTCGATAAAAAGCTAATATGTTTAAAACGAATTAAATACTCGTAAAAAATATCATTTAATTTTAACTGATGTATAGAATATACTTATAATTTTAGATTCTAAACAAATACAACAAATAATTATGGAATTATGATCATCAAATGTTAATCATACGTCCTTATTTTCCTACAGAGAGAAAGAGAATATAAATAAAAATACCAGCTATTTAAGTATCAATAATTAAAGGTACTTTATAAAAATCTGGTTTTGTAAAAGAAGAATTAGTATTTGAAGAAGAAATTTATTAAGCTGACAAAAGTTATGTTAAATTAATATTAACATCTTAAACTGAAGGTTATGCAATTGAAATATTTGATTTTCTTATGTCTAAAAAAGCAGAACTTCAAATTGATTCTGTAATAATGTAAAATGTTGATTATTTGGATGAATTTCATAAATAAATTAATTCAAAAAAATGTTAAATGATGACTAAAAAAATAGAATAATAAGAATATGATCCATAAGAATATAAAAGAAATGATTAACATGAAGAATAAGAAAAAGATCATCATTATTAAAAATCTAGAGGAAGAGGAAATAGAGGAAGAGGAAATTATGGATATTATAGAAATGATAAAGATGATGATAGACATGAAGAAAAATATTAAAATAAAGATAAAGGAGATAGATAAGATAGATAAGATAAAAATGAAAGACATGATAGAAATGATAGAGGAGGAAGAACTTATGATAGAAGAGGTGGATAAAGAGATAGAGGAAATAATGTAATTGTTTCAATTTTATTATTTTAGTAATATGTATAAAAAAGTGATGCTCATCATTAATAATAATAATAATAAGAACAGTAACAATAACATTATCAATTGATTCCTAAAGCAGTATTATAGAAGACTCCAAAATAAAACATTAAGCCAAACACATTGAATGCTCATGATTTCCCTTCCCTAGATTCTGAATAAAAGAGTTGAGTTATACGAGTAATAGCTCTATAGAATTATTTAAGTATTAAACTTCCCTTTAGCTTATTTATCTAATTAATTTCTAATATATTCAATATATTTTTTTAATCCTAAATAATCTTCTATAAACAGAAATCTCAATTATTCATTTGTTAATTACTTAAATACTTAAATTCAATTTAATTAATCTTTTTATATTATACCAATAAATAATATTTAACAATAATTTAAATATGTTGTATATTATTTGACTACATAAAGAACAGAAATGTTAAAATATATAGAAAAAAAAACATATTAACTTTAGATATTATACTAATATTAATGTATTCTCATGCACCAATTGCCAATCTATTCTTAGCTACTTATTTTCTTGATTAACGAGCAACAACCTTATTATTTGCTTCTTTCTTCACATTCTCATCTTTTTCAGCAGCCCATATTTCAACATGTGCATTAGATGAAAGGAATGCTATATTATTTAATAATTTTATTTACGATTAATTCTTCCGTGAGCTCTGTATGTTCTACGTCTACCTTTTTAAGCTCTGTTAACTTAAACATGATTGATGATAAGCTTTTCATTACTCAAATTCTTGACTTAAGCATTAGCTGCCAAATTTTATAAAAGTGACAATACTATTCTTACACTCTTTTCTGGCCATCTACCTATAATAATTATTATTTCATTAATTTACCTTAAGATCTGCCGAATTCTTTGGCTTAGCTTGTTCTGCCAACACCTCCATTAAATCTAGTGAATGGAACACATCTCTTATGTTATAAGACATCTTGTAAATATTTGAGTGCTTAAGCAACAGTTTAACCTTTAAGTGCTCTTNCAAGAATATGATCCATAAGAATATAAAAGAAATGATTAACATGAAGAATAAGAAAAAGATCATCAGTATTAAAAATCTAGAGGAAGAGGAAATAGAGGAAGAGGAAATTATGGATATTATAGAAATGATAAAGATGATGATAGAAATGATGAGAAATATTAAAATAAAGATAAAGGAGATAGATAAGATAGATAAGATAGAGGAGGTAGAAATCATGATAGAAGAGGTGGATAAAGAGATAGAGGAAATAATGTAATTATTTTAATTTTATTATTTTTTAGTAATATGTATAAAAAAGTGATGCTCATCATTAATAATAATAATAAGTACAGTAACAATAACATTATTAACTGATTCCTAAAGCAGTTTTATAAAAGACTCCAAAATAAAACATTAAGCCAAACACATTGAATGCTCATGATTTCCCTGCCCTAGATTCTGAATAAAAGAGTTGAGTTATACGAGTAATAGCTCTATAGAATTATTAAAGTATTAAACTTCTCTTTAGCCTATTTATCTAATTACTTTCTAATATATTCAATATATTTCTCAATCCTAAATTAATTATTAAGATCAATAATCTCTAATGATAAAAATTTATTAATTAATCAAGGCATTTTATTGAATACATAAAATATTAAAAATATGATAAATAATTCCTTAATAATTTAAATATATTTTTATTTATTATGATGACCATATAAACATACTATTTAAAGAACAATATAATCATAAATTAAAAGAATATTTAATAAAAACATATTAACTTTAGATATTATACTAATATTAATGTATTCTCATGCACCAATTGCCAATCTATTCTTAGCTACTTATTTTCTTGATTAACGAGCAACAACCTTATTATTTGCTTCTTTCTTCACATTCTCATCTTTTTCAGCAGCCCATATTTCAACATGTGCATTAGATGAAAGGAATGCTATATTATTTAATAATTTTATTTACGATTAATTCTTCCGTGAGCTCTGTATGTTCTACGTCTACCTTTTTAAGCTCTGTTAACTTAAACATGATTGATGATAAGCTTTTCATTACTCAAATTCTTGACTTAAGCATTAGCTGCCAAATTTTATAAAAGTGACAATACTATTCTTACACTCTTTTCTGGCCATCTACCTATAATAATTATTATTTCATTAATTTACCTTAAGATCTGCCGAATTCTTTGGCTTAGCTTGTTCTGCCAACACCTCCATTAAATCTAGTGAATGGAACACATCTCTTATGTTATAAGACATCTTGTAAATATTTGAGTGCTTAAGCAACAGTTTAACCTTTAAGTGCTCTAGCTACTTCATAAGTATTCTTAAAATGTGTTCTCAAATCACTTGCTTTAGCCTTAGCTGATTTTTTAGCAACTGCTGGTTCTCTAGCATATTATTTGCCCATTGAATCCTTTTAATTAATTTAATTTTTTTTTCAAATTCTGAATCAATATGATAATAACAACATAGAAATTAACAAGTGTGATTATTATCTTAACATGTTTAATGTCAGATGACAATTTAAACTTTTTCTCATTCTTAAATTATATACAGATATAAAATCAATTATGTGAAAAAGAAAAGGTTAATAATAGTTTTAAAACAATAAGTGCATTTCATTTTTTACATTTTTATTTTTATTTGTTTTTTAACATATTCTCAAAAGATTCATCTTAATTATTACTGCAATATGAATCAAAGTTTTATGAATACTGAACACTTTGTTAATTTTTATCAGTCATTATAAAACTAGTCTGACAACCAATATTTAATTCATTTTAATCTTCTTTTCTTTATTCACTTTTTAATCTTTAATTCTATTCTTAATCAATAAAAGAATTATTATTATTATTTTTAGTATCACTTCTCTAAAATCTATCTAGAAATTATTCAGATCTTTTAACAGAATGACTACCCAAAATAGGTCTTTATTTAGAATTAGATTTTTAACTCATTCTACTATTTGTTTTTTAGATTGTTGGTAATATAATGCTATTATCAGAATTAAGAACAAATTTACAAAATCTACTATTTAATGATTACTCCTTTTATTTTGCCCTAAATTAAACTCTATATAATACAGAGTGATTTCTCCTAATAATTATTATTCATATTTCTTAAAATTATTTATTTCCACCATTTTCTTATGAACTATTAATTTATTCATTTCCATTTCTTATAATTATCTTTATCTAACTTCATTTATCTTTTTTTCATGATACTCTGCCTTCCTTTTTACAACTTATGAATCTTAATCTTCAATTTATTTTACTTTTATTTTTTTCTGTTAAATTTCTTCATTTCTTGAGTTTTACAAATATGATTCTGTTTTTAATCTTTCATTTCTTACATAAATTCCTTCTTTCTCTATTATGGGTTTAAATTGCTCAATTATTAATTTCCTATCCAATCCCAATTATTCTTATAATTAAGCAATAGGTGATTTCTTTACATTTGGAGATAATTATCTCAAATCTTTTAATTTATTTTAAATAATATAGTTCTTCTGATCCATATCCTTTAATTAAAATTTAAGTGAGTTTACTCTTTTTTTTATTTAATCATGTTCTAAATTTACTTAAACAAAACTTTATTAATTCATAATAAAATTATAAAATCAATAAATTAGTTTCATCAATAAATATGTTTTTGAAAAATTTTAATCAATTTAATATACTAAGTAAAATCCTTAATTACACTAAGTTATCAACATCATTAAACAATCTCACTATAAAATTAGGATTTACAACCTAGTCTAATCTTAAACATTAAAATTGAAGACAATTATGTATCTATACAAATAATTAGATTATATTATAATGAAAGATATTTATATAATAAAAAATTAATCAAATAAATTATCCTTTCTTTCTTTTCTAAAATTTTAAAAAATTATTAAACAATTTTTCATCTTAATTTAAATTAGGTTAAGTCTCCATTTATGAGTGCTCCTATTTTTTTAACAAATATTTATTTGGAATAAAATCTTTTAGATTTTAATTTTAATCCCCTAAGTTTATTCCTTTTTTGCTTAAATTTGTTTATAAATTCATAAATTTATTATCATTACTATTTCCTCTTATTTACAACCAACCTTAACCATTATATATATTGTTTATTTTATCATAATCTCTTTCAAATTTTACTGCATGATAACCAATATCATAACAAATTTGTTATATATCCTTAGATTATATGTTTTCTTTCATATCCTTTAACTATAATGACATTATAGTAACACTTTTATCTTCCATTGATGATTTAGGTCTAGTATAGTTTATAATTTAAGGACTGGATGACTTTTAAGGATAATTTTTCATTCTCTCTCTGATATTAGATTTATTTATTCTATTATTTTCATTTTTTTAAAGATTATTACTATTGATTGTCTCAGTTTTATTTAATCTCAAAAGTTCTTAAATATTGTTGTTATCTTATTATATTTCTCTTGTTTATGAATTATGTTTAATTTTTGATTATTTTTCTTAAGATTATGCTTCTCTTACTTAAACTATTTTATTTTTATCTTGATTTGAACAATTTTAGATATCTTTTTATTTTTTATTTGTATATTGCATTGAATGAAAATTTTTCATTAATTTATAAAAATCATAATGATGTTGCTAATTAATGATTTTGGTATTATTTTCTACTCCTTAAATGAAAGAATTATTTCTTTGATTTAAATTAAATTATTTAATTTCACTAATTGATGTTTGATGATTTGTAGCTAGATCAGTCTTAAATTGCTATTATTATGTTTCTGTATGAAATGATATTGCATTATTTGAAATGGATCTTGGTCGACACAATTTAACTTTCTCTTAATTATTTTGATTAATAATCATCTTTCTCTGATCCTAATAAAGCATTATTCAGTTAAAATTATCATTAAATTATATATTTTATTTTGAAGAAATGGCAATTGATAGTTTTATAAAAATACATTAAATAAGAATTAAAACTAAAATATTTCAGAATAAATTCGTCAAATTTCTATTGAATTCTAATTTAACTCTTAAATGTGCATTTATATAATACTAAAGCAAATAAAGATAAATGTAATTTTTTTTCTCTAAAATTTGTTTATTTAATTAATTTATTAATTGTAAAAATAAAAAAATAGATATTATATTCATTAGTGAATGACTCGATGGAATATTTCACATTCATTTTTTATTTTACCATCCTTTAATAAGAGTGAAATTGATTTTCTTATTTATATAAATAATAATTACTTAATTTCCTATGGTTCAATATTACTCAAAGCTTTAAAATGATCTATTATTTCATTTAAACTTTTTCCTTATTTTTAATTTTAACCCAAATATGTTAAAATCTAAATTAGATTTGTATTTCTTACATCTTCATTCAAATTAGTAACTTCAATGAGAAATTATTAATCTTCTTCATTTTCTTCTCTTGCATGTATTTACTACTTTTATCCTTCTTAAAATCTTGCCAATGCTATTATCTTTATCATTTAATATATTATCATAGCTGATTAATTTACTTGTTATATAGTCTATATGTCAAAGAAAACTTCATTTTTCAATACTCTAGCTTTTAAAATAAAGTTGTAGTAATTTAGATTTGGTAAGTCTGAATTGATCCTATTAAATAAATTTTGATCAAATTCTTATATTAAATTCATGCTAAGACTAATATTACCTGTATCATCATTAATAATAATTGTTCCTTTTTTTTATTATTGAATACATCTTTATTTACGAGATATTACATTAAAGTAAGTAATATTTAATTTATTTAATACAGCCTATTTTTCATTAGGTGAAACTTTTATTTATTTCATCATTCTAATATTTAGAGGAACTATCTATTCTAATTAGTTAGAAACCTCAATTGTCTCCTTCTGTTTGGAGTACATATTCTTTTGTTATTAAAATTATTAAGGCTTTTAATACAAATTATAATATNACTCCTTAAATGAAAGAATTATTTCTTTGATTTAAATTAAATTATTTAATTTCACTAATTGATGTTTGATGATTTGTAGCTAGATCAGTCTTAAATTGCTATTATTATGTTTCTGTATGAAATGATATTGCATTATTTGAAATGGATCTTGGTCGACACAATTTAACTTTCTCTTAATTATTTTGATTAATAATCATCTTTCTCTGATCCTAATAAAGCATTATTCAGTTAAAATTATCATTAAATTATATATTTTATTTTGAAGAAATGGCAATTGATAGTTTTATAAAAATACATTAAATAAGAATTAAAACTAAAATATTTCAGAATAAATTCGTCAAATTTCTATTGAATTCTAATTTAACTCTTAAATGTGCATTTATATAATACTAAAGCAAATAAAGATAAATGTAATTTTTTTTCTCTAAAATTTGTTTATTTAATTAATTTATTAATTGTAAAAATAAAAAAATAGATATTATATTCATTAGTGAATGACTCGATGGAATATTTCACATTCATTTTTTATTTTACCATCCTTTAATAAGAGTGAAATTGATTTTCTTATTTATATAAATAATAATTACTTAATTTCCTATGGTTCAATATTACTCAAAGCTTTAAAATGATCTATTATTTCATTTAAACTTTTTCCTTATTTTTAATTTTAACCCAAATATGTTAAAATCTAAATTAGATTTGTATTTCTTACATCTTCATTCAAATTAGTAACTTCAATGAGAAATTATTAATCTTCTTCATTTTCTTCTCTTGCATGTATTTACTACTTTTATCCTTCTTAAAATCTTGCCAATGCTATTATCTTTATCATTTAATATATTATCATAGCTGATTAATTTACTTGTTATATAGTCTATATGTCAAAGAAAACTTCATTTTTCAATACTCTAGCTTTTAAAATAAAGTTGTAGTAATTTAGATTTGGTAAGTCTGAATTGATCCTATTAAATAAATTTTGATCAAATTCTTATATTAAATTCATGCTAAGACTAATATTACCTGTATCATCATTAATAATAATTGTTCCTTTTTTTTATTATTGAATACATCTTTATTTACGAGATATTACATTAAAGTAAGTAATATTTAATTTATTTAATACAGCCTATTTTTCATTAGGTGAAACTTTTATTTATTTCATCATTCTAATATTTAGAGGAACTATCTATTCTAATTAGTTAGAAACCTCAATTGTCTCCTTCTGTTTGGAGTACATATTCTTTTGTTATTAAAATTATTAAGGCTTTTAATACAAATTATAATATCATTATAAATATTGTCCTTCATTAAAATCAAAACATAAAGCTGTATTAAATAGGTATTAATCTATTAGTAGAATTTTAATAATTTAGTCTCTCAAATTTCTTAGCGCCAAAAATATAGTATTCAGATCATATTAAATATTTAGATTGTCATTCAATTATTATTAGTATATATATTGAATTTTATATGGGATAGCAATAAATAATTTAAGTGTCAAATGTTTTATAAAGCATGAATTTTTAATATAAAATTTTATATAATATATATAATTAATTATCCTAATGTCTGGAATTTTTGAATATAATGGTGGATCCATAGTTGGAATGAAAGGAAAAAATTGCATTGCTATGGCTTGCGATAGAAGATTCGGTTAACAAATGTCTACTATCACAACTAATTATCAAAAAGTGTTTAAGATTCAGGACAACATATTATTAGCATTATCAGGTCTCAATACAGACATTCACACATTGTAAATAATTATATATATATATTAGTTATGCATTGATGGAGAAAGAGATCAATTTATATAATTTAAAAGAAAATAGAAAAATGAAACCAACAACATTTGCAAATTTAGTTGCCTCTGCATTATATGAAAGAAGGTATGAATTCTTAATTAAGATTTAAGATTTGGACCATTCTTTGTAACTCCAATAGTAGCTGGTCTTGAAAATGGTAAACCAATATTAGCAACATATGATTCTATTGGATGTAAATCAGATTTGGATGATTTTTAGGTTGGAGGAACTGGAGGAAATTAGTATATAATTTATAAATAATATTTAGTATTTATGGTGCATGTGAAGCATTCTTTAAACCAGATATGAATCCAGAAGAATTAGAAGAAGTTATTGGATAAAGTTTAGTGAGTGGTTGTGATAGAGATGCCTTATCTGGATGGGGAGGAGTTGTATACGTATTGACAGAGTAGAAGTTAACAGTCAAAATATTAAAGACCAAACAAACCTGATGATTTATCATTGAATAATATTAATTATAGTGTATTGTCAAGCATCAAAAATTCTGTAGAACTTTTAAAGTTTTAGAAAAATAAGTCAATTATATAATTATATACTAAACACAAAAAATAAGTCATTCATTTAACATCTATTATCTAATCCATTCCCAAATAAGAATCTGACATCAAATACAATTTGTAATTTCTATTCCAATCATCTACTTCTAGATCTTTACTGGCAGTACTTTTCAAATATACTTTTTTCATCTAAACAATACGATCATCATCTCCTAAGATTAACCACCAAGTAGCCTCTCTTTATTTACTAAGCTTCTATATATAAACTTTATTATCAGGTTTGCTTTCGTTTTTAAGATTTACTTTTAATTAGTTTTCAGTTTTAGTATAAGCTATTTAGATATCAGGTAATGCATTGATGGCTTTCATTATTTCAGCAATATTCTCTTTTTAAGGTACATTATTTTATAGGAAAATATCAAATTCTCTAAGCTAAAATTTACAATTATATAATTACATTATAAAATTACAATAGTTCTTTAATAGTTCTTACTCTATTTATACATTCTTCTGGTTTAAGTTTGTGTAAATAAGGCAAATTCATTAAAATTTATTCTTCATTTTTCACAAAGCCTTAAACAATTGTTTATAACATATATATTATATTTAAAGTAGTTTAAAGATATCCTTTATTCGAAGATATTTCAATCATGCAACTTATGATTCTGATACATGAGTCAAGAATGAGTTTTTAATCTGTTTCAAAATCTTTAATAGGACATTTTAATCTGAAAATATGAGCTTAAATTAATAAATAAGCTTTTTCATTAGGATTATCCATTTTATTTTTATCACATTTTAATTTGCATAGTTTTGATAAGGCTTCATTTAAATGTTCTTCATTATGTCTAACAGGTACTTCATTAAATTCACTAGAATATGCTAAAGTGTATAATAAATCTTCAAATCTACTCTCTTTCTAAATTCTTTCATCAAAATGCTTTAAAGTTGTATGTTTAAGATAATAAAAGGCAGCTAGCTTTCCCAAAAATGTTGATTCATATTATCCCTCTTCTTATGTAATACATTTTGATGTCACTAAATCACTAATAGTATCAGCAATCAAGTTATTCAAATATTGTTATATATCTTTACTATTAGTACTAGGACAATTATAAAATATAGGATTTTTGACTAATCTTCTGAAGAAATATGTCCAAGTAATCCAATCGATAAATGTTTAGTTATTTTTAACAACTCCAGAAGAGATTTCAGCATTAATATGATCAGAAATGCCTTAAAGAAGACTAGATTCAATAGGAAAAGGGGAGTTTAAATATTTACGATAGAAATTCTTTTTACTTTATTCCACATATACACAAGCAGTAGCAACTGTATCATATTGAGGTCTACCAGCTCTACCTATCATTTATAATAGATCAGTAACTGGAAAATCTACATATTTCTTAAGTTTAGGATCAAAATATTCAGTACCTTTAACTATAACTAATCTAGCAGGAAAGTTAACTCCCCATGCTAAAGTAGATGTAGCTATTAATAATTGAATTTTTCCTTAAACAAATAGATTTTCAACTATATTTCTATCATTTTTATCTAATCCTGAATGATGAATTCCAATTCCATATTGTAAAACTGATTTTAATTATGTATCATCAACTTTTACACATAATTATGCTAATTCTTATTCAGTTGTTTAAATATATTATTTTTCATTTCCTTCTTACATTGCTAAAGCTATAATATCCAAAGCTGTTAAACGAGTTTGTCTACGAGAGGATACAAAAATAATAGTTGGTTTTCCATCACTATATCTTTTAATATCTTAATAAGCTGGTTTATTCATAGTAGCCATTCTTGGACAATAAGCTCTTTCTGGAAATCCATTAAAATGAATAGTTACAGGAACAGGTCTGCAAGAAGGTTTAAAATTATAAAATCTACCCTTCTTAACTCCAAACCAATTACTCACATCTAATCCATTAGCCATCGCTGTTGATAATCCTATCATTCTAGTTTTTTTATTAGTGTCATAACTTAATGAATTCATTCTACTAACTATAACTTCTAAGACTTAACCTCTATCTTATCCAAGTAAATGTATTTCATCAAAAATTAAAAGACATGTCTATCTTACATATTCTCTATTATTCCAACTTCTACTAATACCATCCCATTTTTCTGGTGTTGTAATTAAAACATGAGCCTTTAATAGTGCTTATAAATCAGGAGTATAATCTCCTGTTAATTCAAGTACAGTTTTATTGATATCCTTTAATCTCTTAGTCCAATCTTTTAATCTCTCTTTTGCAATTGCCTTTAATGGTGCTATGTAAACAACCTTGAATTATGGTGATTATTTAAACACTCTTAACATTGCAAATTCTGCCATTATTGTTTTACCTGAACCAGTAGGTGCTCCAATTAATATATTATCATCTGTATTATAGAGTCCGAAGAAAACTTATGTTTATATAGGATTAAAATATTTATATTACTGGTATAATTGTTCGAATTCAATATTGTTTAATGCACTAATTGGTAAAGGTTATAAATCTAATAATTCAGTAAAATCTATCTAATCATCTTACATAAATGCATTTGATAGATCAATTTAAATTGTAGTCTATTCTTCATCTAACATTACCCATCGATCACTTTGAATTGTTAGATAATAATTCTTGCATTTTGAATTAAATGGAACATAAAATGATAATTACATTGTATTTTTTTTAATAATAGTATCCATATCCATTAAAAACTCTTCTGAATGAAGTAATTCTTCAGCATCATAAGCAAATATCCAAAAAGGCTCATTTTTTAAATGCCATTTACTACTGAATACAAATTAAGGGGTTATTAAAACTACTAATTACAATATAGTTTAGGATATTGGTTTAACTTTATATTCAATATCCAAATCAGGTAAAAAATTAACATAAGCCTTAAATTAAGATACTAAATTCTAAGGTATTGATAAATATTTAGCCAAAACTGCATCATCTTCATTCTTCATTTAATAAGCATCTAAACTACATTCAGCCATAGCACCTATCCATGCTCTAGGCATATAAGCATCTTTAGATTTCATTATTTTTCTAGTATTACATCCTGAAAAGCTTTCTTTACTAAATTAAAAAAGTGGATTCTATCTAGGACACATTCTATTTTCAATCATCTTACACAATTTCAATAATTCTAGTGCCATACATGCTTAATTTTTTTTTATTGCCATATCTAACATACATCTCAATAATCTAATAGTATTTTAAATAATAATATTTGTATCCATTATTAATGCATAATTTTCAAAATTCATTTTTGCAAGATATCCACTTATAAGTGCAATAACTTTCTCTTAAGTTTCAATAACACCTTCAGGATTATCAAATGAATCACTTCTGATATCAGGTTCTTCATCAAATGCCCAACCTTCATCATAAATCTTCTATAATTCTTTAGTTTCTTCTGGTCTTACACGAATCATCTCAAATTCTTTGGCCTTAGCTATAATCTTAAGTAATTAATATTAATTCTTATCATTAAATTTTTATTTCTCCTATTAATCAAATGACAAACCCATTTCATCACACAAAATCTTCATTGTTTCACATTTAATATAATAATGTGAAGCAATTCTACCTAAATCTGTAGATGTAACTAGATGATTTCTTGTATCATATCTCACTAATTTTAATGAATCCAACTATTTTAAAGCAGACTCAATCTTTTCTTAAACTAATGTATCACAATCTAATTCTAAATCATCATATGCTCTTTAAACACCATAATGTATTGGATTTCTTCTTAATCTAATACTTAAAAATGTATGACACATCCAATTATAAGCTTCAGTATAATTAGTAATATTTCCTAAAACTATTTCTGCATTTAATGCTTCTCTTAAAAATGTTAATAATTTGCTTTCAATATAACTGGCATTATTTAACATACCCATATAATGACCAACATTATTAAAATCAGTTATTAAAGTTGCTTCTCCTTTATCATCAAACTAAGGTCTACCTGCTCTACCAAACATTTATTAAACATCCAATACACATAAATTCTACATATCTGCTCTAGTAACATCAAATATATCTGTTCCTTTTATAATAACAGCAAAGGCAGGTAAGTTAACACCCCAAGCTAAAGTGGCTGTTGCTATTAATACTCTTGCTTCTCCACTTAAAAACAATCTTTCAACTGAATTACGATCTGCTCTTAACATACCAGCATGATGGAATGCCAAACCATAAGGTAATAATTTTTTTAATTCAATATCATTTATTTTAGTACAATTAATTTTAGTGGTTCCAATAATATGTCTATCACCTAGACGAGAAGCTCTTTCTTATATCCATTTAGCATAATTAACAGTCTCTTTACGAGAATGTACAAATATAAGTACTTATTTATTATGTTTAACAACTTCACTCATTAATTCATAAGCTTACTCATTTTGGATATCTCTTTTAGTTCTTCTTCTTTATCCCTTAGCAGGTGCTTATACAGGTTCTTTACATCCTATGAATTTCTAACATAATGGTACTGGTCTGAAAGTATGATCAAAAAAGAACACACTATCTTTATGGCATTCTAAAAATATAGCAACATCCCAATAATTTGGTAGAGTTGCAGATAAACCTACTAATCTGATATGTCTTTAAGCTCTCTATACTTATTAAAGTGTACGAGCAACTACACATTCTAATATTGGACCTCTTTCATCATTAAGTAAATGAACTTCATCAATAATTAATAATTTTAATTATTCACTAATTTAATTCGTTTTTCTAGTAATAACATCCCATTTTTCTGGTGTTGTCAATATAATATGTGTTTCTTATAATTCTTTCTTAGATAATTACATATCTCCTGTAAATTCTTTAACTCTTACTCCCAAATATCTAAGTTTTGTTTAGAATTTTTCAACTATTTCACTAGCTAATGCTTTCATTGGAGATATGTAGACAATCTTGAAATCTTAATCTTTCAATCTTTTGTCTTTTTCATCTACTCTCTTAGATATTTCATGAAGGATTGCCAACAATGCTATATTAGTTTTACCAGCTCCTGTTGGTGCACATACCAATAGATTCTCTTCAGTCAAAAATGCTTTTGAATATATTTATGATTGAATAACATTTAGATTATTTGTTCCATCAAATGCTTTTCTTGCCCATTCTGGTAGTTCTTATATAGGAATGAGTTTATCTTCTTTTATTGGTTTTTTAGGTAATGGATCAATTCTTATGTATAAATATTCTAATTTATCTGTTCTTGTAGAAGTTGGAAAATATCTAACCAAAGTTTATTGTTCCATTTTTGCATATTAGTCTGGATCAAATTCTATTAAACCTTCTTAAAATGTAGTCTAAACTTTTTGTTAATTTGTATATTCTTATTTTCTTAATCCTAACATTCCTTCTTATTAAACATCTATTCCAATTTTAGCAAGTAGTTGATGATTTGAAGTGGCTACACCATTATTTTAAAGTGTTGGTTTTTATTATTAATTTTAAGCTTCCCAGAATTTCTTCTCACTCAAATATTTAACTATTTCTTTTCTATATATCAATAAAAATTATGCAGCCTTTACATTTTTTAATATATCATAAAATTTACATTCCAATATTTAATTTGTTAATGTTTTATCACATAAGTCTTTTAATAAATCAAAAACTAATAGTTACCAATATTCTGGTGATGCTTTTACTAATACATGATGAAATTATTTATCAAACTCTGATAAATAATTAATATTTTCTCTGTCTTAAATTACTTCAATTTATTTTGTCTCCTATTCTTATTATTCCTCTTAAAATTAGATTTCCCAATTTGATTCAATATTTAATGGTTCCATATTTACAACATCTTTATAATTTTTTAAAAATTCATTAAATGTTCCATATTCTATTATTTGTTTATTTTAATCATCTTCTTAATGTAGAGTCTAGGCCATAATCCTATCTATTTGACTATCCACTTCATACATTGTTGAATAAAGAACTTAAAGCTAAACTTCATTATAATTTGGTTCTATGATTATAAAATCATATCCTCGATATGTAGCCAATACATTCATTACGCTTTTCATAAAATATTATTAACTCTCTTCTCCTTACATCACAGTCTATTTATAAATTATATAAATTTCTTCTAAGAGATCCACAAATGCTAATGTTATTTTTCCACTCAATCCTCTTGTATCTTAAGCTGCTACATGCACTCCTAATTCTTTTAGTAATACTCTTAATCTATTTGATAATTCTTTGATATGAAATTCGGTGCCAAACATTAATCTATATAATGGCTTTGCCTTCCTCATTCGTTCTTCATTATACAATTCATCATCTTATCTCTCTAAATAAGCTTTATTTAAAGAAATTAATCTTCCATCATTATATCCTTATTCGAAATATCTTAACTTTAGAGTGGTTCGATTGAACTATATGGTTTTATAACTTATATACATCTTTTATTAAATATTTCTGAATGTCTTATGCTTATAAAAGCTCAGCAGACAGGTTCATAAGATTACTATTCATTAAATTAAATTTAATAAAGAATTTATTTGCTAATTATGTATTTCAATCAAAAAGTAGATTTCTTAAATCTTATCTAACCTCTATTTTACCTTCTTATGGTTCTTCTTCTTCTTCAATAGGAATAGTTGATTTAACTTAAGATTGCTTTTGGGTCATTTTTTTTAAAGCCTATTAAGTGTAAGTATTTTAAGGATTTTTTTGAATCCCAAAATCTAAATCAAATGTATATTTATCATTTTATTAAGATGAAACTATTGAAACACTTTGATTATCACTTGTAATAACATTTCTTGGTTTAGAATTAAAAGTTTATTATTATTATTATTATTATTATTATTATTATTATTATTATTATTATTATTATTATTATTATTATTATTATTATTATTATTATTATTATTATTATTATTATTATTATGGAATTCCATTTGAAAATGTTTATACAAATGACTAATGATCTTAATGAAGTACATAAGAAGGAAATTAAGGAAAATTTCCTTATTGCTAATTTAGATTTTATGTTTATTGTTGATTTTTTTATTGCATTTATTATATTTATTACTATGCCAATATTAATTATTACTATAGTAAATTCTACTATTCTAATAATTATTAATACTATTAAGGACTTAATTACTATTATTAACCTTACTAATTTATTGATTGTTATTATTAAGGTTATTATTAATAAGTATTTTATTATAAAGGAATTGTGTAATTTATTTATTTTTATTATTAATTATTTAACTATTAATTTTATGGCAATTCTTTTGGTTTTTAAGAAGGTTGTTAAAGCATCATATCTAATTTTAATAAAGATGCCTCAATCTAATCTTCTTATGACTTTACTAACATATTAATGTAGTATACTTGGAAATTAATTATCAACGAATACTATTCTGTTGACTTGATTAGATGATTGTAAATTCCTGACTCCATATTTTTATTATACTGATTCTATTTTTTATTTATTCTCTTTATTCAAATTCAATAGTTCAAGTTAAAGCTACATTTCAATATCGTTAATATTTTATAGATCCTCCTATTATAAAATCATTAGAAATAAATACCCTTAAAAATTCTTAAATATGATTTTGTTCATCTTAAACACTACTTGCTTGTTTATGTATTTGCTTATTAGTTATTCTAATATTTTATGGTGGCTTTCTAGGAGGGTGTTAATGATTAGTATTCTAATTAGTATCAATAGTATTTTATTACAATTGCTATTGAATTAACATTTATTAGGCAAGCAATTGTTATTCTTTTAATTACAATATCTTAGTCTGCTCAGAATTTTTAATAGGTGTAGTATTTTTTGGAACTGATGAAGAAATTTACTTTTATTTAGTATTGAGTGGTTCTTATTATGATTTTTATGATGTTAATTCTCTTTTATCTCTATCTGTTCCTTGTTTTTAACTCATTTTGGATAAGACATCATCTGCTTAAGTAATAGCCTATTCAGCCCATTAAGTAGGCTTTGATAAAGGAGGCTTAGAGTTCTATTTAGCCAATTATCCATTTTTCATAGTATTTTTCCACAAATCCTCCTCATCATCACTTTATTCTTCTGGTAATCCTAGTAATTATTGCAATTCATATTTTCTTTAATTTGGAGCAGGTTTTTATTTTTGAGCTGTGCTTAAGTCAAGACTATCTAGAAGTTCACTTTTCTTCATAATTTCAAAATCCTCCCATTATTTTTAAAATTCTTAAGGCAATTTTTTGTTCTTAGCAACTTGTGATACTTCTAGATCAAGTGCTTCGAAATTATTGTAATTTGTTTATACTTTTTTTTCTAATTGAGGTTTTGGATTTTATTTAGGATAATCAGTTTATCTAGGTTGATAATCAGCCAAAATTTGTTTAGTATTATTTCTTAAATAATTAATATAAGCTTATTCTTTAGTTTTCTTTCTTTAATCAAGTAATGCAGCTGCTTCTTTTTACTTTTCTTCTTCTTGCTATTTAAGTTTCTTTTCTTATTCTTTTCTCCTCTTATTATTTTCCATCATCAATAGTCTATGTTTTTCTTCATTCTATTGCATTTTATTCAATATGTCTTCTTTAGTTTTTACATCTGTGGTTGTACTCTATAAGAAATTATAAAATTGATACTTTTTTACTAGATTGTTAACTTACTATAGATTTAGTATCATTTTATTTCTTGTTATTATATTTGTTTAAGTAACCAGCTGTTGACATTTAAAGTATAATAACTGTATATTTATAATAATAATATTAGATAATTCAATCATTAGCAAATAATCTTAGAAAGTCTTAATCCAATGAAGTTTGAAATGGCACTTTAACTGGTTAATTACTATAGTTCTTATTTAAAGCTGAGCTAGCATTATATTTGATAACTATTTATTCTTCATTGGCTCTGAAACCATGAGCAGAAGTGATTTAATTATTGATAGGAGAATATGATATATTTTGGAATCCTAATCCATTATATTTTAAATTAGCAGATTAAGGATGTTTTTATCCAGAAGATTATTTTTCTTAATAATTAAGAATAAAATACTTCCTTCATCAGTTTGATATCCATCCCTTTGTTGAAATTTATTTAAATTTACTTTGTTATTCATTTTGAAGAATCCCAAATCAAAATCATCAAATTCATCATTATTTTTAATATTTCCTATATTATTATTTTTATTGCCTTGAAATAATAATAAATTATTTACTTTATTCATCTATTTAAGCATACATATTTTTAATTGGTATTTCTATTCCATCCCTATTAGTATTCTAATTGCCTGATTAAATAGGTAATTCTAGTCCTGTTGCTTTAGGAGGTGTTTTATGTCTAGAAGGAGGTCTTTCATTTTTATCTAAATTTTCTATCTAAGCCTATTCAGTTTACTTTCTTCTTTATCCTGAACGTATAGAGAGCAATTCCTTAATAATATTATGGATATAATTTAATACTTTAGGTGAATTCAGTTAATTCAAGTATATTGGCATAATTTCTTAATTCTCTGAATCATCTTCTTAAATAACATTAGGTTCATAATCTAAGAGTCCAAAATCAGATTGCTTTGTTTCAAAAGCATGTTTTGATTCATTTTTATCTGAATTCATGAATCTTTTTCTTCTTGCACCTTCAGATGTTTAAGGCCTATTAAGACTAGCGGTTGCTTTTCTCATACTTGCAATTGGTTCTTCAGTTTATTTATGTACAAAAGATGCATTTTTTTGAATTTCTTATTCTTCTTATTGTTAAGTAGGTAATTATAAGTTTTAATGCTCATCACTATCTGCTTCATCTGATTAATTTGAATAATCATCATTATTATCAATATCAACTATTTCAATATCTTCCTATTCTCTAGGAGTCAGCTATTCATCATCATTAATGTCCATTACTAAGTTTTCACAATTTAATTTTGGTTCTAAAGTATTCATTTATTAAGTTTATGGTCTACTCTATTATTACTCTGAGAAACGAAAGGGTCTAGAAATTTGTTAAGTAAATGTTCTTGATGGCTTAAATGATCCTCTACCACTTTTTGGGCCATCATCATATCGTTTTTCAAGACTTCTTCTTTTTACTGTACCTTAAAATTGACCTGCATATATTTTAGAAATCTGCTATATATTATTTTAATAACTTTTTGGCTATGATCTATGTTATTAAAAATACTACTCACATAGTTTTTAAATATGGATTTGGAACATTATGTGTAACTGCAATCAAAGGTTGTTAATATGGACTCTTAATAGGCATTTTATCCTTTCTAGATTGGTGCGGTGCTGTACCTCCTCGTTTCAGGTTTTCACTAAGTTGAATTACCAATCAATTTAAAGTACCCTTAATTTGTAAACCAACTCAAATAAAATGGCTGTTATTATTGATCTTTCTAATTTTTAGGTTTAAACATATAATTATTTATGAAATAATTATAATAAATAAATAATAACTTTATCTTCAATCATTTCTATATCTACTATTATAATATTCATAGGATATGTGATATTTATTTTATCATTCATTAATACAGCAGAAATATTTTCTTTTCTTAATATTTACTTTAATTTGAGTATGTAAAATTTTTTGGCTCTTTTTTTATGATTCTAAAACAAGTTTAAACATTTCTTTATAAATTAATGAGAATAGAAAATAATTATATTCTCTATGAATACATATTTAAAAAAAAATAATTGTTTAAAATACAATATAAAATATTCATAAGATATCCATCAAAATTCAATTGATTTTAATCTTAATATTTTAAATCTTAGACGTTATAACATTTCTTAAGTAGTATATAAAATAATTTGCAACCTGATTATGTTTGAAAATTCAACTAAATAATTACTATTTAGAATATATTAAATATTATATCTGAGAATCTATTTTAAATTGTCATTAAACTTTGAAAATAACATATTTATATTATTAATGACTGAAGTCTGCTAACCTAATTAAACAGGGTTTTTTCATACATGTGGTTAATTTAGTTAATGTGAATTGAATTCAGCCACATTAATTTATTCCTGCTAACATGATTCTCCATTTACACCAAAAGCTGGAATAATTATATCATATATAATTACACCAATATTGATTGGTATCGGAATTTTAGGAGGAATGGGAGGTATAAATCTTATGTATTTCAGGTGGAGTATTGAAAGGACCACTTTTAGAAATGATTCTTAATTACTCTTAAAGTGAAGCAACTCATATTGCATACTGTTTTATGTTTGGAGGTACTCTTCTTAATACAGCACTATTAATGTTTGAAAAGTACTAAATTTAAATATATATAGAAATCCAGATGACGAACGAAGACCAATCATAAATTATAGAATTGCAATAATCTTTAATCTTGCTGTTCCTTTTGCAACAAATCTTGGTTCATCATTAGCCTCATTTCTACCTTAATTATACACACTCATTCTTTAGGAGCTGTTTTTATTTGGAGTAGCCCCTATACTTTGGGAAAAAGGTAATATATAGAATAATTGAGTAAAATAGCTAAAAATGCGAAAAAAGCAGAGCTCAAAGTTAGTGAAGAATCTTAAAAAGAGAACACTTAAAATTTAAATGATTCAAATCTCAATCAAAAAATAGAGTTGCAGGCTATAGAAGGGATGCAAGAATAAAAAGTAAATATATTGTAAGATAATAATAAGGATTATATAATTTCTAATTCAAATTTAAATGAATCTCTATATTTTAAATTTAAATAGGAATCAGAAAACATTTTACCATTGATGCCAATTCTCTGTATTTTAGGGTCATTTGGATTAAATTAAGTAAAAAGAAAAATTGAATAATATAGATATTTATATAAATGCGATCTACAAATCCCAATAAACCTTCATATGTTGGAATTTAAGATTGCACATGGGAAAACGATTTCATGATCTTTATTTTAATCATAACCAATGTCTTATATGATTATTTGATTTGGTAATTCGGAACCAAATAAGAGAAAACATTTAATTAAATTAATTTTTTGCCAAAAGAAAGATATTTTACTCCAATCAATAGATTTTTTAAGATTTATGCTGGTGGATTTCTAGCAGGATTTGTATCAGGATTCTTAGGAATGGGAGCTGGATTTGTTATGGTTCCAACTCTATTATATAGTGGATTAATTCCAAGATGTGCATCAGCTACATCAGCATTTATTTATTTAATGATTTCATTAAATAATTTGATTACTCTCCTTACTAATCATTATTTAAATTGGCAAACTATAATTTTATTTACTGGATTAGCTGTATCAATATATATATAATTATTAAGATTATTGGAGGATCTGTTTTTGCTAAAATTGGTTATATATTATTAGCTAAATACAAAATTGGATATTTTGTAATCTTAATAGTTTTTGCTCTTGATATTGCCAATATTATTTCGTAAATCTATTACGGAGTTGTATTTGGAAAAAGGTATGGATTAGACTATCTAACTCATGCTAATAAAGAGTGTTAGTGATTTGTTATTCATCATGTAAAAATATAAATAGAATTTTTATTACAAAATATTCTCAAAAAATATGTTGATTTGGCTTCTTTAATCTTTTATTTATTTCTGATTATTAGGACAAACGTGAAGTATGATCCATGAATCCAGAATATGGTCTAAAAACCAGTTATGATGATTTTGCCATTGTTGATCTTGATTATGGAGTATCACATTTAGGTGTTTCTATCACAGACGAATACCTAGGAGTGACATTATTATGATAGCCTAATTATGGTTATGATTATGTTCTAGGTGTTGGATAGAAAGTAGTCATTGTTTTATTCTTTTCAAAATGCTTTTAAGCACTAACATTCATATCACTCTCTTTAGTAGACACTAAAGCATTGATTGTAAGTAAAGGATCTACTTTTCCAAAGGCAGCACTTGTAGCTCTTTTTGGCTTCAATTAATCATGAGTATGTTCAATTAATTTCATAGCTGAAATTACTCTTGATCTTTGAATAGCTTCTTAATTTTAAGGAGCTATTCTTAAAGGAGGCTTTACTAATCCAATTCTAATTAGATTTGAATAATATTTCTTTAGAAATCCTTCTGTATTAACATTTGAGGCAAAATTATATGGATTCTCAACTCTTTCTAATAATTTCATTTAAGGTTCATCACTTTATTTTGTTTATTACACAAATTCATTAATTGTAATTTTTTTTCCTGCTTTTTTATATTTTTTATTGAATTTATCCAACAAATTGTTATTAAATTTTAATACTCTACTATGTTTAGGTACCTAATAGGTTTAGGATTTATACTTAATATTATTAGAATACTATGTCTACATGATCATAAGCTTTTATAGAATCTTTAGTTAAAATTAAAGTAGATTTAGATTTTTTAATTTGATTATTTGGTGAAGTATTACATTTTTTATGATCAATAGGTTTACTTCCTACAAGTAGTCTCATCAATTATTTTTCTATAAATCATAAAAGTTTTATTACATTTATATTATACAATAATTTATCTAATTATTGAATTTGGAAAGAGACGTGTAAAGATCTTAAGTTTAATTTTATATAGTAGAACTTATGCTGACTTAGCAATTACAGTATAGTAATAAGTTTAAACACTATTTTAATCTTAATCAGGATCAATTAATAATTCATCTCCTATTATTCCATTCTCTTCTATATTAAATAAGTGTTCTTTATTCTTCTGAAATGAAATATGACCTTATGCTAAAAAAAAGAGATTTTCTCCTATTTAATTTTCCCTTAAATAAATAAATTGTATATAATACTCAGTAATATTAGTATTATGAGGAAGAATAATATTTTCAAATTAATTGGTTAGAGACTCCAATATTCGTTTAGAATTCAATTCTCCTAAACCTGGTATTATTTTACATAAAGTTCTGTGTTTAAACAAAAATATTTCTCCATAATATTTAAAAATTTCATCACATTCTTTTTTATCAATCATCAGTAAAATTGAATTATTGATTGCTACTTTATAAATAAGTTGATTTTGCTAATATTTAATTTTATCGAATTAAAAGTCCTCTTCAATATAAAATAACGGATTTAATGTTGTGAGATATTTTTCATTTTTATAGATATAACCTTCTTCCAAATAATAAACTTCAACTTATCCTTTTAGAATTAGTTATACTGCAAACTTTTGACTTGGTAACACTTAATCACCAAGTTAATAACTTGTAAGTTCTATATAATTACAAAGCTTTATATATCATATCAATATACTTTGATTTATCCTTCTTATGATAATTGTTGGTGATAGATATCATTCAATTTGTTGAAAATTTATGTGACTTTTATTATAGATGCCATTGTCTTAATATATAGAATAGAAGTACTTTAAGATCTTCATTAGTTTTTGGATAGCTTAATATTTTTTATTGTAACAACACTAAATTATCATTCTAAATTATTTATTCCATTAAAAAATAATAAAATTTATGATTAATATTTTCAATTATTAGATAATTTCTTTTAAATCTCAACATCCTTTAGATCTATGACTTTCTGCATGTAAACTCTTTCTTTTTGATGTTTATTCCTATATCAATTTTTAAATTAAGCTACTATTAATTAAGTTCTATTTGCTTATTCCTACAGAATAACTTTTATTTCGACTTAAAATTATGAATATAAATAATTACTTTGATATAAGGGGTCGCTAAGTTAAGGATTTTTAGGACTCTTTATTTTTTAATAATTCATTTAAACTATTGTTTTAAGTCTATTGCAGTTTCATTATTTAACTATTATTGAATTACTCTTATTTTCCTGATTCATTGCCTAAATGATTTGATTTTGATGTCTATTTTTATAATGGTTAATTTATAGTTTATGTACTATCCCTTCTAGAATTTAATGCTGTTTATTATTTATATGTTTAAGTATAATACTTCAATTATTGAATCAAATTATAATTCTCTTTTTTTAGTTTCTAAATAATTAAAATCATATATTACTTATATCATTTAAGTTGTTTCTTTAAGATATTCTTTTCTAATTTATTCAGATTCTTCTAATTATTATTAAATTGTTTCAATGAATATTTTCATCTCATGTTAAGCCTAACTAAATTTATATACCAATTAATCATACTCTAATGTGTATTCTTATTTCTTATTCATATTTTTGAACTGCTTATTCTAATTTCTCATAATTTTATGTTTTTGGTTCACATTTGAAAAATTTCTATGAATAATTATTATCTTTAAATTTCTTTTTTAAAGCCTGAAAGATAAACTTCATTGTTTCTGCTAATTATTATAAATTCTCATAATCCTATAGATGATCTTGTATCTGTTGCAACTCTACTTCTGATCTTATATTCTATTCAAGTAATTAAAGCATCTTTAATTTAAATACAAAACAATTACATCAGACAAGATTTCTTTCAAAGTATTTTCGAGAATATAGTCTGTACTACTATTTGTTAACATATTTAATGAAAATTAGAAATTTAGAATAAATTAATATATATATTATTTATTGTTACATTTCATGTAAACTTATGTAAAGAATTTTACTATTTTTACTATTATGAATCTAATTTTTATTATTCTTGTTATTCTATATTTAAATTAATTTCTTAATCAATTTCATCTACTTTTAAAATACTGTTATCATGTTTTTTTAAAACTTTTTTATTTTTTAGAATTTCAATTTTAAATTCCTCTAAATTTTTATTGTCTTTTCTAAGTTCTTAAGAGAATTTAAGTGAACTTACTCTTTTAAAATTATATTAAAAACTCTTAAAATCAATTTATAAAGATCCACTCAAAAACTTATCTTTTCTTTCTTCATATTATAAAGAAGATGACATTCCAAAACAACTTCTATTAAATCTATCTTATAAATTCTTATTCGATTGATTGCTCAACCTTTATTCAAATTAATTATCTTGTTTTTCTGAAGAATCTTCTGGGATCTGATTACTTGTTTTATCATTTTCTTCACTTTGTGAATTACAATCAAATTCACCTATATTCTTACTCATAGTAATGTTTTCAAAAACATTCAATTAAACATTTTAAAATAATTAATTTGGATTTGTATGATTGTTCTAGCAACTTTTAATTTCTATAGCAGAATCACCTCTTGAAATTTATTCTTCTTCTAATATTAGATTTTATTCAATTAAAAACTTAGTTAAATCTATTTCTTTTATCGGAGTACTTGTATCTTCCCCTAATTTTGTCTTATTTCTTTCTTCTTGATTAATATAAAACATTTTTTAGGCATTCCATATTTTTGAGATTTTTAATTCATTCTAAATTAATCTCAAAGTATCAATATATGGCAAATTATCTGCATCTCTTGATAATTTCTACTCTAAATTTATATCGAATTAATATATTAATCTATATAAATGACCTATATTTTTATTTTATAATTTATATCTTTAAATGAGATAATAGGCCCAAAAAGGATGGTAATCATTTAAGGCCTTATCAAATATAAAAATAACCATGTTTTCTACATATATCGAGAAAATGTCTGCATTTCGAAATTCATTCATCAATTAGAAAATCAATCCCATAATGTTACTCTCAGCTATTTAATCCCATAATTATAAATCTGTAATTCGAACTAAATTATCGATTATCTAATTATAGTCTTGCTCGTACTTCAACAAGTTTTATGATAAACAATCCAACTTTAAGCTTCTTTTAAATTGATTTCTGGAATATTTAACCAATTTTAGAGACATCAAAATTGATAAAAAAAGGAGTTTGCTTAAATTAAGTAATTATATCCTAGGAATCTGGATCATCCAAATTGATATTTTACATATCCATTGTATAAAAATTTGAGATTAATGAAATTATATGAGCAGCATTTTTTAATATTCTAATTTAAAATTAAATTATACATTGGATCTATATTATCTTAAATGATTATATCTAACATCTCTTTAAGGAATTCTCCATTTAAGATATATTCCAATTACTAATCAATTAAAATTCTTGTCATAATTTCATGTACAATGTATGTAAAATTGATAATACTTAATAGATCCTATTATTTATAAAATTCTAAGCCTTTTTTCAAAAAATTGATTTGTGATTAGTTGAATCCTATTTCAAAAAATGCTATCAGTATTTAGGATACACTATGTATATTAAGAAATGGTAAGAAGGAAACTAAAAAGTCTTATTATTTTAACAAGTCTTAGAGAATTGATGAATCTCTTTCTTTTACAAGATTTAATAATTTATATGCTAGACCCCATTAAATATCAGGAACAAATTATTTATATAGTAATTCAAAAATGATTGACCAATGAATCTAAATATTAAATTTAATATTAACTTCTATTTATTTTAGAATAGGTTCTAAATTCAATTCAATAATCTCCCAAATATTATTGATCTATTCACCATACTATTCTAATTATTCTTTTGGAATCAAATTATAATCAGCAAATAAAATATTTAACATCTAATCTACATTTTTACATATAAACTCTATAGCTATTGGATCTGTATTTCTGCAATATATCATAAATGAATCATTCTTTAATAAACTAAATAAGTCAGAATTGTTTTCTTTAATTATTTCCTCTATGACTTTTTGAGTTGGAGATTATAAAATGAATTACATTTTTAAGATAATATTATTAATTTAACTAACAATCATTATTTTTTAATATATACTTATATTGAAATTAAAGAAATAGATAATTATACTAAAATATGAGAATGAATTTAAAGTATTACATAAATCAAATAATTCTGAAGATAAAAATTACATAAATATATAATAATAGTTTTAGATATATATTTCATTTAATTAAATTCTTTATGAAGGACTATTTAATTTTATTAATTACAATGAAAAATTAATTAAACATTTGTCAATAAGAAATAGTAATAAATTCTTCTAACTCCAAAAATAAAATAAAGCTTCTATGTGAACATGAAGTAGATGAAAATGATAAAATAGATGTAAATACGTATAAATGTATGATAAAATTAAAACTAAAATTCCAGCAATGTGAACATGAAGTTGAATATTATTGTTTTGAAAAGGATAAAATAGATAACAAATGTCATTTCATATGTGATAAACTACTACCATGTGGTGATAGATGTAAAAAGAAATGTTACTAAAATTGTTTACCATGTATGAATAATTGCTAAGGATTAAAAAATCTGAATTTATGTGAACATTTTGTAGAAAGCAGAAATATTGATTAAGAATAATAAAAATAATGCAATTAGGAAGTTAAAGTTAAATTAGATTGTGGGCATACAGCTAATTTTCAATGTTGGTAAAGAGAAAAACTATAAAAATCATATATTTGTAAATAAATTTGCAACAAACAAAGAATTTGTGGTCATTCATTTAATTAATGTAATAACTACTGCTTTTAACAATAATGCTCTCCATGTTTATAATAGATAACATTAAAGTTGGATTGTGATCATGAATAACAAATTTGGTGTTATTAAAAAGATGATTATATCAATACCGTATGTAAAGAATGCTAGAATAAAAATATAAATAATTAAAAAAAGAACCTTAAAAATTAAGTTATTATTGATTTAAATTGTGGACACAAAGTTCAAACAACTTATGATCAGAAAGCTGCTGTTTTATAATCATTTTAATGCTTGGAAAAATGTATAAAACCACGAATATGCTAGCATAATTAACCGTGTGATAAATTTTGTTACTAAGAATGTACTCCCTGTAGAGAAATAATAGAAAAGGAGTTATCCTGTGGACATTAAGCAAAACTTTAATGTTCTAATGCCAAATAAGAATTAGAAAATTATAAATGCAAACAACCATGCAATAAAAAATGGCCATGTTCTCATAAATATTCTTGTTAGAAAGAATGTGGAGATCATAATTGCACTCCTTGTTAGCAAGAAGTAACCAAATAATTGAAATGTGCCCACACAATAACGGAAATTTGCTCTAACTTGCAAAAATATAAATGCAGAGAAAATTGCACTTAAACAAACTAATGTGGACATCCTTGTCGAAAATATTGTGGTGAAGAATGTGACCCATGTGAATAAGAAATTTCAATAGTTTTTGCATCTTGCGCTCATGAAATAAAAATACCCTGTTTCCAAAAGGAAAGTTTGACAAAAAAAAAATGCTAATAATGTATTGAAAAAAATTCTTGTATTTTACAATGAATTCTATTTCTTATAAATACTTAATTTCTAAACCTAAACCTAAATCTAAATAATATATAGGATTTTTAAGTTACTTTAATCGTATCTGAGCTTTATACATATTCAAGTTTCACTATAATTAGATAATTTGTTTGTTTAGTTCTTTAATCTTTTAAAACATGAATAAAATATTTATAAGTTGTATATTAATTTACATTTTCAAATGCATAGAATCAATACTTTATTATTTTTAAATAAATTATCTTATCTTTATTTTAGCTAAGAAAAATCCTATTGTAATTATTACTTGTTTAATCCATTTTTTAAACTTAAACGAAAACCTTTTTGCAAATATAAAATAATTCTAGAAACAAATTTTCACTTAAATAAGTATTCATTCATTATGAATCCAAACAATTATATACATTATGATTTATAAGAAAAACTTAAAATGATTTTTGAACATAAATGAAGAAATATATTATTTAAATTTATTAATATTATCATATCTGAAATATATTTATGATCAAAACATACAACTTTCATATGTTGGTATCATATATTTAATATTAATATATGCATCTTCTCCTCCATTTTTTTCAAGTGTTTCTAATGTTTCTTAGATTAGATCAGATAGATTTTCATTTTTTCTTTATGAATAATCAATTTTATCTCCAATATTTACTAAAATAAATAAATAAATAGAGATATACATCTTTTATTCTTATACATATTCATAACTGGTAATATTTATCTATAATAAGGAACTAATGCTTCTCCTATCATTTAACCACTTTTAACCAATTTTTATATTTTCTTTAATGTAATACACATAATATCATGATTCTTTGTTGCTAAAGCTTCTATTAAAGAATTTATATATTATAAATATATACTTTTAATAGGAATGATTAATTATGGTAATACTGATAATATCTTAGTTTCTCCTTTTTATAATAATTCTTCACATCCATTAACAGCTAAGAATTTGTAAGGATCTTCAGTTTCTCTTAGTCCTTCAAAGAATATTGGAAGATATAAATGATAATCTAAACATTCAGGTTCACATTTCCAAACTATTTTTCTTACAGCTCCACTAAAATTAACTGCAATTGGAAGATCTCCTCTATCATAATATTTTTTAAATAGAGTCTATTCAATCATTGGTAAAGCTTGAAAGATACCTGATTTTGGAACTTTTTAAGGTGCTTATGCTTTCTTAGGAGCTAATGATGATGTCACTAATAAGTTATATAACTTATAAATTATTACTTCCACCTGTTCCTGCAAATTTATTACTAATGTTCAATAAATTTGAACAGAATTTACCTGGTGATCTTTAAGGAGAATGTCCTTAAATTGGTTTTATTCTTTTATTACTTACTTACNAGAATAAAAATATAAATAATTAAAAAAAGAACCTTAAAAATTAAGTTATTATTGATTTAAATTGTGGACACAAAGTTCAAACAACTTATGATCAGAAAGCTGCTGTTTTATAATCATTTTAATGCTTGGAAAAATGTATAAAACCACGAATATGCTAGCATAATTAACCGTGTGATAAATTTTGTTACTAAGAATGTACTCCCTGTAGAGAAATAATAGAAAAGGAGTTATCCTGTGGACATTAAGCAAAACTTTAATGTTCTAATGCCAAATAAGAATTAGAAAATTATAAATGCAAACAACCATGCAATAAAAAATGGCCATGTTCTCATAAATATTCTTGTTAGAAAGAATGTGGAGATCATAATTGCACTCCTTGTTAGCAAGAAGTAACCAAATAATTGAAATGTGCCCACACAATAACGGAAATTTGCTCTAACTTGCAAAAATATAAATGCAGAGAAAATTGCACTTAAACAAACTAATGTGGACATCCTTGTCGAAAATATTGTGGTGAAGAATGTGACCCATGTGAATAAGAAATTTCAATAGTTTTTGCATCTTGCGCTCATGAAATAAAAATACCCTGTTTCCAAAAGGAAAGTTTGACAAAAAAAAAATGCTAATAATGTATTGAAAAAAATTCTTGTATTTTACAATGAATTCTATTTCTTATAAATACTTAATTTCTAAACCTAAACCTAAATCTAAATAATATATAGGATTTTTAAGTTACTTTAATCGTATCTGAGCTTTATACATATTCAAGTTTCACTATAATTAGATAATTTGTTTGTTTAGTTCTTTAATCTTTTAAAACATGAATAAAATATTTATAAGTTGTATATTAATTTACATTTTCAAATGCATAGAATCAATACTTTATTATTTTTAAATAAATTATCTTATCTTTATTTTAGCTAAGAAAAATCCTATTGTAATTATTACTTGTTTAATCCATTTTTTAAACTTAAACGAAAACCTTTTTGCAAATATAAAATAATTCTAGAAACAAATTTTCACTTAAATAAGTATTCATTCATTATGAATCCAAACAATTATATACATTATGATTTATAAGAAAAACTTAAAATGATTTTTGAACATAAATGAAGAAATATATTATTTAAATTTATTAATATTATCATATCTGAAATATATTTATGATCAAAACATACAACTTTCATATGTTGGTATCATATATTTAATATTAATATATGCATCTTCTCCTCCATTTTTTTCAAGTGTTTCTAATGTTTCTTAGATTAGATCAGATAGATTTTCATTTTTTCTTTATGAATAATCAATTTTATCTCCAATATTTACTAAAATAAATAAATAAATAGAGATATACATCTTTTATTCTTATACATATTCATAACTGGTAATATTTATCTATAATAAGGAACTAATGCTTCTCCTATCATTTAACCACTTTTAACCAATTTTTATATTTTCTTTAATGTAATACACATAATATCATGATTCTTTGTTGCTAAAGCTTCTATTAAAGAATTTATATATTATAAATATATACTTTTAATAGGAATGATTAATTATGGTAATACTGATAATATCTTAGTTTCTCCTTTTTATAATAATTCTTCACATCCATTAACAGCTAAGAATTTGTAAGGATCTTCAGTTTCTCTTAGTCCTTCAAAGAATATTGGAAGATATAAATGATAATCTAAACATTCAGGTTCACATTTCCAAACTATTTTTCTTACAGCTCCACTAAAATTAACTGCAATTGGAAGATCTCCTCTATCATAATATTTTTTAAATAGAGTCTATTCAATCATTGGTAAAGCTTGAAAGATACCTGATTTTGGAACTTTTTAAGGTGCTTATGCTTTCTTAGGAGCTAATGATGATGTCACTAATAAGTTATATAACTTATAAATTATTACTTCCACCTGTTCCTGCAAATTTATTACTAATGTTCAATAAATTTGAACAGAATTTACCTGGTGATCTTTAAGGAGAATGTCCTTAAATTGGTTTTATTCTTTTATTACTTACTTATTATTATTACATTCTAATATTTATTTTATATTAATTATTTATTTAGCAATTCACAATCCATTGTTACTTTTTGATAATAATTCAGTATAAATATTCTAATCAGTAATTTAGATTCGCCCAAGACTTAAATAATGAATTTCTTCGTTTGGCATGTACTATATTATCTATATTCTAAACTGGCTTACTTTTCAACAAATGGAATTAATTTAGTGCATTCTTGTCTGTAAAATAGATAGTTCAATCCAAATGACTAAAAGATTTGCAATAAATATCATTTTTTTAATATTCTAAACAATAAATATAATCTAACGATAATATTATTTGAAAAAATAAAGGAATGCTTCGTACAAATATGTCAATAGTTAATCTTAATCATTAATAGAGTTCAAGCTCTCTATTATAAGCCTTAGTTAATTAGAGGCCAAAATCATCATAAAAATCGCATTCACAAAAAAGAGTACCTTCTGCGAAATCTAGTAAAACAAGCCAAATTGGCTAACCAAGTTATAAGGTACTTTTCAATTTTAATAAAATTTAGTTGGTCACATCTTCTCTATGTTAACCTATACCAAATTTAAAACAAGAAGTATCTTAACGAACAAATGAGACCTTAAAGCCAACGTAAAATTTCTTATGATTTTAGTGATAATTCTACAACTGAGCCCCTATAATCTTAAAGAATTTAAGAGTAATAAAGTGAAAAGAAAACAAATAAAAAAACATCCTTAATATAAAGAACAATATTTGGGTAGAGTGCTGCATCTTTAGGAATAAAATAAAAGACAGTTAAATTAACAAGAGAATCTAGAAGTAATAGCAAAAAAGAAGTGCAATAATCAATAATTGAAGAATCAACATAATAATAGTAAGTTACGAAGGAAATAGAAAATGCTGAGGCTACTTAAAAATTAGAATAATTGATCTCAAAATACAAAAATACCTCTTTTTTTAATTAAAGTTCACAATAGAATTAATATCAAGCATAACAAGTAAGTCCATAAATAGTTTTAAGTGTTTCTTAGCCTAAAGAAAATTAATCTCTTTAAACCACTTAATAAACCTTATTATCATAAGCATCTTTAGCAGTCTTGTCAGAGTAAGATTAGAATTTAAATACAGCTTTTTCATAATCAACTAATTTATAAGTTAATTAAACTTAAATAAACAAGTATGTAACAAGGATTTCAAGAGGGGCAAATTTTATTCCATAAAAATAGAATTCTAATTCAGTTAATAATTCAGTAAATACTAAGCCAACAAGAAAAAGAATGAATTCACCATTACATGGTTAAAGAAGGTCTAAAGAAAATTCTATTGTTACAGAATCATTAGTGAGTCATAGAGAATCAAAATCTAAACTAAGAAATTTGTCAGGAGATAGAAAATTTACACCTGCTCAAAAGGTAAACTTAGGACCATAAGTACCTTTTTAAGAGTTTTAATATTATATGTCATTTGCTAGATTTTTTCATAAAGAAAAAAAATTTGAAACTTAAATAAAGCAACTATTTAATAATAGTCTTAAAACATAGCAATATTTCTCTGAAATTTATATAGATCATATTCAATAAAGTTTTCACGCTTTATAGTTTTGTAAAGACGCTTAAAAACCTAAACTAGAAGATATAAAATAAAAAATTGTAAATTTACCTCCTAATAGATGTATATATATATTAGTATATAATTAGTCGCAAAAAGTATTGTTTTTGATTTAGATGAAACTTTGATTCATTGCTAAGAATCAAATGATGATCCAAGTGATATAGTATTAACTATAAAGTTTCCTACTGGTGAAACTGTGGATGCTGGAATTAATATTAGACCATATTGTAAAGAGATGCTTTAACTTCTATCATAAAAATATGAAATCATAGTATTTACAGCATCACATGAATGCTACGCTTAAAAAGTATTGAATTATCTGGATCCAGATAAAAAATTTATCCATCACAGATTTTTCAGAGATAGTTGTATTGTGATTTAAGATGGATTACATGTCAAAGATTTAAGAATAATAGGGAATAGAAATTTAAAGGATATGGTATTAATAGATAATGCTTCATATTCATTTTGCTTTTAATAGGACAATGGTATTCCCATAATACCATTCTATGACAATGCATTAGATAAAGAACTTGTTTACTTAACAACATATTTGATGGATCTAATGTAGGATCAAGATATTCCATAAAAGAATTCGAATAATTTCAAGACTTAATTGTACTCATAAGATATCACTTTTGAATAGTTAATTACAAAGCTATGATAATTTATATCTATTTATATTAACTGTTTCAATTAATTTTAATTATATTCTAAATTTCACTTCCAAAAAAAATCAATATTTTAGATATAAGTTGATAAAGTTGAATAAAAAGTTTATTTTGGGGAAATTCAATATTTGATTTGGGAGATACAAACATATTTAGATAAATTTTTTTAAGTTTGATAGGATTGGGAATAAATCTTAAAAAATATAAATCATGAAGTGGAGTTTATTAAAGTTATCTAAATCAAATAATTCTGTTTTAGAAACTCATATAATCTATTTGGTTGCTTAAGATTAAGTTAATTTTCACATTAAGAATTGAAATTAATTCTGAAAGCTTAATTTATGTATTGGCATTTGGAAGATTTATGTCCTTAATCTCAATGATTAACAACACTTCATAGATATTTATAGATCAATAAGTAAAGTCTTAAAAGATAAGTTAATGTGAGGTTAGAAAATATTTGTTATGTTATGAACATGATAACATACTAAATAATTAGTGTTATTGCTTACTTAAATTTTGTTGGATGACGTATTATCGAGAGATAAAAGTATGTTGATCTAAGTGTATTAAGCTTTATTATTTACCAAAATTTCATAAACTCATGCCCATTCTCGCTGATTTAAAATATTAAGTTGAACTATAAATGAAGAAACAATAGTCTAATAGAGTTGGTCCAAGTCCGAAAGAGAAAGTGATGTTCCTCACACGCGTTTTGTATGAGAAAAAATCTTTAAAAGAAGTATTATACTCAAGTTTACATTTTTAGGCTTGCCAAGAATTACAAATGTCTTACTCCTGGGGTAAGGCCATATGGTCTGAACACATATCCCAATATAATAAAACAAAAAAACTATATAAAAAAAATGATTCTCCCAAAACTCCTCCCAGCGAGACTGAGTAAGTGACAAAGAAGGTTGCGGGCGTCAAAATCCTCCCAAAGGGACAACACATTACTAAACAATTTCACATCCAAGTGCTAATTCATGGAAATCCTATCAAGACTAAAGCTACTGATTGAGAATAGAAGGCAAGTTGGATATTGCATTCTTTTGTTTTTCTTAATTCATGCTTTTCAGACTAATTCTCCTTCTGGAGAATTTGATTTGGAATTGCATAATTATATAAAAATTTATTATTTTTATTTTGCTTTACAAGCAGCTCCCAACTTAGTTTGATAGAGCTAACTTATTCTATCAAAGCCTCTAGAAATACACATTCTTTTGAAATCAAATAATTTGATTTAGTAAGAAAATTTGATTTCAATCATTATTCTTAACTAATTTCTTAAGATTTAATCTAATAGAATTATGCCTTCGATGAGATTCAATATATCTTCATCTTAGTATACTGTATTTTAGATATCAAATTTTGATAAACTAGTTCTCACTTATAAATAACACCTTTAAGTAAATTTAAAATTAATTTATCACATAAATCATTATCCTCAATCATTTAATCTTACCCAACCAACAATGACATCATCTGCACTTCCATCATAATCCTTACATTTTTCTTAAGGCTAAAGTCCTGTGATTTCTCTTTCATTTATTATGTATACCAATCCAAAATTACTAAGCGATACCTTTAGCTTTCTCGCATATTAATTAGAATCCCATATATCATCATAATTTTATTCACCTATAGTAATGAATGGTTCTTCTGCTCCTAACTGTACATCCAAAACCACAGCAACATGTCCATATGGAAAATAAGGCTCTCTTTTATTCCAAATTAATAAATCACCCGATCTAATATTAGTGGTCCTTCCATTGTAAAACTTAGTTAAATTTCTATATTTCCCATTCTTGTAATCAATTGCATAAGTTAGGTTAAAGATTTAATCTGCTGTATCAACATCAGGAAAAGCTGATCCGTATTTTTAAATCCAGTAGTTCCTAGCAAAATGAACACATTGATATCTAATTTTAAATTAAGTATACCTCATTCCGACATATACAGTTTAATTAAATCCTGTCTCATTTGGTTGCAGAAAGTGTTAAAGCTCATCAATATGTTACATATCATTTTGGCATGAATATGCTGGAACTCCATTACCTTTACCAACAAGTACTCCAAAATCAGGAATTTATGATTCCCCTTTGATATAATATATTCTTATACATTATTTTCTAAAATAGAAACATGAATAGCATTATCCCAAATAGCAATAATGATCTCCATCACATTAGTCTTTACAATCAAGTCTGAGTGCTGCTGTAAGAGTTAAAAGCAAGAATCTATTACTAATACACAATAAATTACATCATCAATTTCAAATTTTTTATTTATTTATAATCTTCTAATTTTTAAGTGAACTCAGCCTAATATCTCCTTTTAAATAATATTACTATTAGTTTACTTTTAAAAAACAGAAAGCATTTTCTAAAGTATTCAATTATTTTTAATTCAAAAATGATCTAAAACCTTATTTTGATGCTATCAACAAATTTTGCATTTCAACCTAACTATCATTTTGATTTGCTATAAGATAAGAGAATAGTTTGAATTCTCTTTATTGCTCAATATTACATTAAAATGGTCTTTAGAGATAATATTTGATCTATTTCCAAAATTAATTATCCCCTTTACCTAGTGTTTAATTTAACTAAAAGTAACATTCTAACAATCTAAATTGCAATTACAAGGAAGATGATTTCTTTATGAAAAACAGAATCAAACATAACCTAGGTTAAAATGTCATATAATTATCTGGATAATCATATATATCAAAATTTAACAAGATGAAATAATATTCTTGATTAATTTTACTAAAGCCATTATAATTTAATTTATTTACTTTTATTAATTTTACTTATAATAAGAATTACCACATAATATAGTATTAGAAAATAATAAAATAGTAAGAATTTATAAACTAATAAAATTCATCTAAGAAATTTTTTGGGTTAATGTTATGATTTTCCTTTAATTTACTTTAGCTCTTTTTCTAAAGCCATTACTCTCTTTTAATTAGCATCTTTTAAGAATGTTATCTCTTGGGATAATCTTTTTACTTAAAATTCTAATTCCTATTTCTCTTACTTATAAATTGCTAACACTTCATTTTATTCACAAATTAATTTTTCTAATTTTTCATTTTGTGCTAGCAATCTCAATGTAGCATCAATAAATTATTATTATTTATTTTCCTCTTTTTCTATTTTCTCAGTTTGTACTCTTAAGGATGGTGAAGTACATCGAACACTTTTTACTGTATCTCTCATACTATGACTAGTTGGTTATGAAATTATAAAAGATTAATGATTGGATATTAATTTTGGACTGTTTAAAAATGATTGATTGACTGAGTGATTTAATTAATGATTTTAGATTTGTTAACTATCATTCAATATTGACCTTCTATTTGAGATATTTTAATTTAATCTGGCTGCCATTGTTTAGATAGTCTAAATATGAGCTTGTTATTATCTCATAAATAATTTTTAAAATTAATTATTTACGAGAATTTATTAATTATTAAAATTACTCAATCAATCATTTGTAGAGAATTATTTCGGAATTATGCTCAGATTTTTTGCGGCGAATCTAGTCTTAAGATAGATTTAATGATTTATTAGACCTTTAGGCTGATGTTGTAAAATCTTTATTTGGATCATAATATGATATTGGTTTCTATGAAACTTATTAATAAGCTTATTATTGCTATTAAATAAGTTATTAATTTCTAAATTATAGCTATGGCAAAAAAGATAAATTTGAGACAAACTTATTTTATTTTATGATTTATGGACTTTATGATTTTAATTATATATTTGGTAACTATGGAAGCTTTCTTGGTGATTAACAAGTAGTATTATAAACTCGGTGAATTACTTAAATTTACTCATTTGTCAATTTATCTGCTTAAATACATTCTATTCGTTTTAATTGATGGTTATTTATAGTTTATCTAATTGATTGATTTAACAACTTTAATTAACTCCAAATGTAAAATCCCCCTCTTTGTAAAACTATATATATTTATAAATTACAATATTTATCAGAATGCTTGATGAATTTTTTTTTCAAAATAATATGCATAGCCCAAAAATTATCAAAATCTAAATCGAACATTGCTTTGTAATTTGAATGAAGTCTTTTTTTTAACTTTTTTTATTGAGCTCTTAATTATAATTTTAATTCTCTTTCAGGATTAATATAAATTTATTATTGTTAAGACATCAATTGTTGTTGATAAGATTATTATTAAGATTAAGCTACTAGTAATTTATCGATCATTGAGACAGATCTGAGGATGATAGCAGGTTTTTAATAAACCAAAGAGTTTGATTATTCTCTCTATTTACTAGTTTTTCTTTATATCCACAACTTTGTTTTAGGACTTTCATTTGATTCTGAGTCTTATAGATCAATTTATTTTTATTATTCATTAACTATTTGTTTTTGATTTTGTTACTGTTCAGAAAGTTTTGCTTTTATTTTTGAAATAACAATTGCAGATGTAGTTTAAATTAAGTTATGAAAATCTTCCCTAGATTTATTAACTAAAATCTTAATTAAGACTAAAGCTGAAGTCATCTGCAATAAGGATAATATAAAATACTTTAAATTCCTAATCCATCATAAGCTATTGAATTTATTATAAAATTTCTATATTATTCTCCGCCATGAAATACTATTTAAACATTAATAATAGATCTTTAGTATCTTTTTAATTAAATCTTACTATTTGCATCTCTGGTTTGAATAGTTTTATTATAGTTTGACAAAATTTATAAATATACATTCTTTCCGGAAGATTTAAAGTAGTAATTTTTGAAAGATATTCTAAAATTTTGTTTTCTTCATCCTAACGAGGTTTATCATGCTTTTTCATAGCTATAACTTTAAATCCCATTTATCTAAGAGATTGTTAAACTTAATTGAATTCAACATCATAGTTCTTTTAATTAACTTAAACCTATTAATTTATTGTTGCCATCACTCGAATATCTTCAGATCTTTCTTAAATCAATTTTAAGAGAATGTCAAGTTAATTAAAGTTAGCCTCCATCCTGTTGAAATCTATGTTTATTAAATAAATTTAATATCGAATTTATAATTCAAAGTCCTTGTATCAATTACTAGACGAACTTATAAGATTATCAAAATCAAATAAATTATTTGATTGACATACGAAATACCATAATTAAGAGAAACATTGAAATAATCTAAAACATTAATTAAAATTAAAACAAAGAGCTTTTTCATCTTTAGTTTATAAATTGACTTTTATAAGAATTTTATTTATCTAAAAACGATACTCCTTTATTTTCTAAAGTAAGCTAATAATGAATTTTTTTTTTAAATTAGATAAGAAACACTGTTGTGTACTTAAAAGCAGCAATAATAACTGGTGAAAAGAGTTTAAAAGATAAATTATAAATAAAACATAAATATAATTAATATAATATAAATATTAGAATGCAATAATAGTAAGTAAGTAATAAAAGAATAAAACCAATTTAAGGACATTCTCCTTAAAGATCACCAGGTAAATTCTGTTCAAATTTATTGAACATTAGTAATAAATTTGCAGGAACAGGTGGAAGTAATAATTTATAAGTTATATAACTTATTAGTGACATCATCATTAGCTCCTAAGAAAGCATAAGCACCTTAAAAAGTTCCAAAATCAGGTATCTTTCAAGCTTTACCAATGATTGAATAGACTCTATTTAAAAAATATTATGATAGAGGAGATCTTCCAATTGCAGTTAATTTTAGTGGAGCTGTAAGAAAAATAGTTTGGAAATGTGAACCTGAATGTTTAGATTATCATTTATATCTTCCAATATTCTTTGAAGGACTAAGAGAAACTGAAGATCCTTACAAATTCTTAGCTGTTAATGGATGTGAAGAATTATTATAAAAAGGAGAAACTAAGATATTATCAGTATTACCATAATTAATCATTCCTATTAAAAGTATATATTTATAATATATAAATTCTTTAATAGAAGCTTTAGCAACAAAGAATCATGATATTATGTGTATTACATTAAAGAAAATATAAAAATTGGTTAAAAGTGGTTAAATGATAGGAGAAGCATTAGTTCCTTATTATAGATAAATATTACCAGTTATGAATATGTATAAGAATAAAAGATGTATATCTCTATTTATTTATTTATTTTAGTAAATATTGGAGATAAAATTGATTATTCATAAAGAAAAAATGAAAATCTATCTGATCTAATCTAAGAAACATTAGAAACACTTGAAAAAAATGGAGGAGAAGATGCATATATTAATATTAAATATATGATACCAACATATGAAAGTTGTATGTTTTGATCATAAATATATTTCAGATATGATAATATTAATAAATTTAAATAATATATTTCTTCATTTATGTTCAAAAATCATTTTAAGTTTTTCTTATAAATCATAATGTATATAATTGTTTGGATTCATAATGAATGAATACTTATTTAAGTGAAAATTTGTTTCTAGAATTATTTTATATTTGCAAAAAGGTTTTCGTTTAAGTTTAAAAAATGGATTAAACAAGTAATAATTACAATAGGATTTTTCTTAGCTAAAATAAAGATAAGATAATTTATTTAAAAATAATAAAGTATTGATTCTATGCATTTGAAAATGTAAATTAATATACAACTTATAAATATTTTATTCATGTTTTAAAAGATTAAAGAACTAAACAAACAAATTATCTAATTATAGTGAAACTTGAATATGTATAAAGCTCAGATACGATTAAAGTAACTTAAANAAGTAAGTAATAAAAGAATAAAACCAATTTAAGGACATTCTCCTTAAAGATCACCAGGTAAATTCTGTTCAAATTTATTGAACATTAGTAATAAATTTGCAGGAACAGGTGGAAGTAATAATTTATAAGTTATATAACTTATTAGTGACATCATCATTAGCTCCTAAGAAAGCATAAGCACCTTAAAAAGTTCCAAAATCAGGTATCTTTCAAGCTTTACCAATGATTGAATAGACTCTATTTAAAAAATATTATGATAGAGGAGATCTTCCAATTGCAGTTAATTTTAGTGGAGCTGTAAGAAAAATAGTTTGGAAATGTGAACCTGAATGTTTAGATTATCATTTATATCTTCCAATATTCTTTGAAGGACTAAGAGAAACTGAAGATCCTTACAAATTCTTAGCTGTTAATGGATGTGAAGAATTATTATAAAAAGGAGAAACTAAGATATTATCAGTATTACCATAATTAATCATTCCTATTAAAAGTATATATTTATAATATATAAATTCTTTAATAGAAGCTTTAGCAACAAAGAATCATGATATTATGTGTATTACATTAAAGAAAATATAAAAATTGGTTAAAAGTGGTTAAATGATAGGAGAAGCATTAGTTCCTTATTATAGATAAATATTACCAGTTATGAATATGTATAAGAATAAAAGATGTATATCTCTATTTATTTATTTATTTTAGTAAATATTGGAGATAAAATTGATTATTCATAAAGAAAAAATGAAAATCTATCTGATCTAATCTAAGAAACATTAGAAACACTTGAAAAAAATGGAGGAGAAGATGCATATATTAATATTAAATATATGATACCAACATATGAAAGTTGTATGTTTTGATCATAAATATATTTCAGATATGATAATATTAATAAATTTAAATAATATATTTCTTCATTTATGTTCAAAAATCATTTTAAGTTTTTCTTATAAATCATAATGTATATAATTGTTTGGATTCATAATGAATGAATACTTATTTAAGTGAAAATTTGTTTCTAGAATTATTTTATATTTGCAAAAAGGTTTTCGTTTAAGTTTAAAAAATGGATTAAACAAGTAATAATTACAATAGGATTTTTCTTAGCTAAAATAAAGATAAGATAATTTATTTAAAAATAATAAAGTATTGATTCTATGCATTTGAAAATGTAAATTAATATACAACTTATAAATATTTTATTCATGTTTTAAAAGATTAAAGAACTAAACAAACAAATTATCTAATTATAGTGAAACTTGAATATGTATAAAGCTCAGATACGATTAAAGTAACTTAAAAATCCTATATATTATTTAGATTTAGGTTTAGGTTTAGAAATTAAGTATTTATAAGAAATAGAATTCATTGTAAAATACAAGAATTTTTTTCAATACATTATTAGCATTTTTTTTTTGTCAAACTTTCCTTTTGGAAACAGGGTATTTTTATTTCATGAGCGCAAGATGCAAAAACTATTGAAATTTCTTATTCACATGGGTCACATTCTTCACCACAATATTTTCGACAAGGATGTCCACATTAGTTTGTTTAAGTGCAATTTTCTCTGCATTTATATTTTTGCAAGTTAGAGCAAATTTCCGTTATTGTGTGGGCACATTTCAATTATTTGGTTACTTCTTGCTAACAAGGAGTGCAATTATGATCTCCACATTCTTTCTAACAAGAATATTTATGAGAACATGGCCATTTTTTATTGCATGGTTGTTTGCATTTATAATTTTCTAATTCTTATTTGGCATTAGAACATTAAAGTTTTGCTTAATGTCCACAGGATAACTCCTTTTCTATTATTTCTCTACAGGGAGTACATTCTTAGTAACAAAATTTATCACACGGTTAATTATGCTAGCATATTCGTGGTTTTATACATTTTTCCAAGCATTAAAATGATTATAAAACAGCAGCTTTCTGATCATAAGTTGTTTGAACTTTGTGTCCACAATTTAAATCAATAATAACTTAATTTTTAAGGTTCTTTTTTTAATTATTTATATTTTTATTCTAGCATTCTTTACATACGGTATTGATATAATCATCTTTTTAATAACACCAAATTTGTTATTCATGATCACAATCCAACTTTAATGTTATCTATTATAAACATGGAGAGCATTATTGTTAAAAGCAGTAGTTATTACATTAATTAAATGAATGACCACAAATTCTTTGTTTGTTGCAAATTTATTTACAAATATATGATTTTTATAGTTTTTCTCTTTACCAACATTGAAAATTAGCTGTNTAATATTTTATATGCAATTTAATACAATATTAATGATAAATTATTGTAAAGTATATCCCTTTAAAAATTCAAATGAATTATTTATTTCAAAATCTGAAGATATTCCAATAATTGATAAGATTATAAATATTTAATACTTAAAGCTAAGAGTATTAAATAATAGGAGGATTCATTAATAATTTTAATAGATTAATTTTTATTTTTTTTTATCAAACAATAGAATGATTCAATCAAAAAATAAAATAAAAATTCTCAAAAATAAAAAAACTCTTTTCACTAATAATATCTCTTTTTAATTCATGAAATTGGAAAACATTCATTAAAACCCTTGATTTAATTTAGCCTAAGTTAATAGCACTCATTTAATAATAATTTTATATAAATTTTGCTATAAGTATATTTTTCAATATCTAGCATATTCACAGGTGGATTGAAAGCAACTAAGATAGATAATCCTTTCCATCATCTAATTTATCTAGGGCATCTTCTATAAGATCATTTCGTATATAGTTAATCATATCATCTTGATCTTGACACCTCAAAATTTCAACTTATTGCATTTTAAGTAATTAAATGATAACAGTCTACAAAATTGCTTTTTTTGTATTTAATTTATTTTACATTCTTTTTCATACAAGAAAATATCAATTATTCTAAGTGCCAACTCCTTCCTGACAAGCTAAAACAAGGAAAATATATAGGAGTCAAAACAATCTTGTGGTTTGACTTTTAATTCTTACATTTTATAATAAATTAATGGAACTTCAAACTAAATTCTTTTATCAATAATTTCTAGTATTGTCATATCCATTAAAAATACTTTAAATAATATGAAATTTTAATACCTTTTCGATAATTTTGGATATTTAAAATATGGTTTAAAATAATGAAGCTTAACTCCTCTTATTCTAATTATTATAGTATTGAAGATGCTATAAAATTCATTCCCTTTACATATTTAACTTCCTTATCTAAATTAGAATATGCAATTAGAATCCTTTTTAATTTATCTAATTTCTCCTGATCAACTTTTTCTAGTTCCGAATTTTTATCTGATAAGCTTGAATCAGATGAACCAGAAAATCTCTTTGAATTGCCTTTTTATCGAAAACTTCCATTCAGATCATTAATTATGTGTTGTTCAGATGGTGTCTCATATTATAGTTTTTAATATAGCACATTTTTTATTCTAGCTTTTTCTGTAAGCCAAATCCAAACTTGACATCTTAGATCTAGAGGAAAATTATGTCTAAGATTATAACTTAATTCAGAATAGCCTTAATCCTCTGAAGATCCTTTTAAAATTTCTATCCATCGTTCCTTAGTAAACTTAGGACATATTTCGCTGCTTCTTTATTTTGGTTTTGATTTAGATCTATGTGGGGATTCACCCGTTTTTATTCTTTTTGCATTACAACACATTAACATATTATTTTAATTAACATAATAAGTTTGTGTTATAATTAGAATCAAATATATATTTAAACAAATAATATTACTATACAAATTTTAGTAAAAATGTATTATTATGAAGAAAAAAGAAAAAAGGACGAAATCTATATACCTAAATAAAACTAAAAAGTTTAATATTAAGAACAATAAAAATTTTATCAATCAAATTAATAGCCCTAATAGGTACAGAGAAATACTTAATAAAGAGAATAAAGAAAAATGGAATAGAAGAAAATTGAGAGAAAAAATGAAAAATAAATTCAGAAATTAAAAAAAGAATAATTCAACCTTTTTTTTTAGACAATTTCGGATAAAGATTAAAATAAAGTTATTTAAGAATTATATAATCAAAATAATCTTAAAGATCTATTTTTCAATTTAAGAATATGTGCGAACTCATATGATTCATATACTAGTTTAATAAAAAATTTAAGATAAGCCTATAAATAAGATTTTAATGTGATACTTAGTGGTTCAAACTTTAACACTATAATTTTCGAGAGATGCACTTTGTTATAATTGTATCAAAACTCAATTGAAGATTTGGATTAAAAATTGATAGATTTGTATCATTTATTTTTCACTATGAAAGATCTTGATTATCAAGCCCTAAAGGAATCTAGCATTGCTAGTGTATACAATCTATTAAAAATCATAGAAGTATATAACCCAAAGCTTTAAAGTAAAATAAGTTTAATATGTAATAAATTTGATAAACTTTTAAATTAAATATACTCCTCCAACTAATTTTTAGAATGGTAGTAAATTCCAATTTATCCTGTAGCTTTAGAATTTTTTCCTAATCCTGGTATGCACAGTTAATTATTCGGGAAATTAGAAATTCTTTCTAAAGAAAATAAAAATGTTGATAGATATATTGATTATCATTTTAATCTATTAAGAGAAGATTACATATTAGAATTTAAAGAAGCAATAATTAGTTTAAATGAATTAGGATTTGAAAATATTGACAAATCAAAAACAAGCCAAATAAAGTTGTATCATGATATAGAATTGTTATAAGTAAATATGAATAATTTTGAAATCATGTGGAAAATTTAAGTGAAATAATTTAATTTTGATGGAAAAGGAATGAAAAAAATAAATTGGGAAAAATCTAATATACTAATGCCTGGTTCATTAATATGTTTAACTAATATAGAATGTTATCCATTAATATTTGGAGTAATAACAAAAAGAGATAAATATTAATCTGAATATGAATATGGTTTAATATAATTAGAATTTTCATTTATTGATCCTAATACATCAATAATGCAATTTTTAAATTTATTCTCTTAAAAAACAATACTCATTTAATTTGATGGTTTAGTTGAACCAATACACTACTATTTATAAGCTTTGAAATCAAAAACAAGTTTACCCTTTTAAAATATTATTGTTGAAAATTAAAACGATGTTAAATACCCTGAATATTTAAATAATAAATAGAAATTTGAAATTGATCTTTCAAAAAATGATTAATATAGAGGTTATATATTCAATATATTGAATCCTATATGGCCAGAATTAAACTCAACTTTGGATGGATCTCAATTAAATGCAATTAAAATAATGCTTTAAAAATAAGTAGCTTTAATCTAAGGTCCTCCTGGAACAGGTAAAACCTATTGTGGAGCTCTCGCTGTTAGAATACTTTATCAAAATTTACTGAATAATAATTTTCCTATTTTAATAGTTTGTTATACAAATCATGCCTTGGATTAGTTTTTAGAACATATAATAAAATTTGTTCCTCTTGAAGATGTGGCAAGATTGGGAGGAGCTTCAAAACATCCAGAATTATAAAAATGTTAAATTAGATGTAGATAGAAAATTGACTTTGAATTTTAAATTTTCAACAAGTTGAAATAGAAAATCAGCAAAGTAATTGAAAGAATGTTAAAATATGATTATATAATTCGACCGAAAGATATTAAAAAATATTGGCCAGAGCTATATAATATCATTATTAAAAAATTCATTGAGGATAATAATTTAAATTATGAATTTTTTATTAATTAGTAAGAATAAGACTAATTGGTGAATTTTTGGATTGAATGTGATAATTCAGAAGATGATACACTTGAAAATAGCTATTAAGATGAAATGTCTAAATATTTTAAAATGGATCAATTTTATTAAGAATCTGAATAATTTAAGCATCTAATAAAAAGTGACTGTTTATAATAATAGTAGTTTTAAAGTGAAGATGAGGATTTAAATATTTATTTAGATTCAGATGATGAAGCACACTCTTATAATAATTATTATAAAGAAGCTAATTTTGATCTAATTGCTGTGGATAATGCAATAAAATAATTTAATGAAAAGTAACAAAATTTTTAATTACTTCATTATGATTTTTAATCAATACAAAAGATAATTAATTATGTTATTCATCAAAAAGGTAATCCTTGGTTTTTAAATCCTAATGATATAGAATAGATCTTAATTTATTTAGAAAGTCTTAGATATTAAAATGATAGTGTTAAATTTAGTCGTTTATATCAATAATTTATAGATTTATCTAATAATCTTAAAGAATTATATGATGAAAATGAGATCAAAATATTGAATAGTATGAAAATAGTAGGAGTAACAGTTACTGGTGTTGCTAAATAAGCAAAAAAATTAGAAAAATTAAATACAAAGATTATGATTATAGAGGAAGCTGCTGAAGTTTTGGAATCTCATGTTGCTAGTATACTTACTAAAAATTTATAACATTTGATTCTAATTGGAGATCATCAATAATTAAAACCAAAATTAAAAAATTATTCCTTATAAATGAAATTAAAAAATGCTGATGTATCTTTATTTGAAAGATTATTTTTTAATGACATTCCAAGTGCTATACTTACTTCATAAAGAAGAATGAAATCTAAATTTGCAGATTTTATACGATTAATTTATAGTAATTCATATTAAGATCATCCAGATATTAATAAATAAAATAATATTGAAATTCAAGGTTTGGAAAAAGATTTAGTGTTTTTTAATCATAAATGGCCTGAAGCCTCAAATGAAAAATCAAAAGAAAATAAATTAGAAGCTTAAATGATATTTGAAATGGTTCAATATCTTTGTAAGTGTGGTTATTAATAAACTTAAATTAGTGTACTTACTTTATATTTGAGACAGGCTTAAGTATTAAAAAGTTAATTTTTTAAATCTGGATATAATAATATAATAGTATAAACAGTAGATAATTATTAAGGAGAAGAAAATGATATTGTGATAATATCTTTAGTAAGAAACAATTAAAATAATAAATTAGGATATATTTAAATAGAAAATCGAATTAATGTAGCTTTATCAAGAGCAAGACTAGGTTTATATGTATTTGGAAATTTTGATTTTATTTATAAAGCATCAATCAATGGTAGTCTATGGTAAAAAATAATATAATTAGCTAAGATTAAGAATTATTTGAACGATTATATTAATACTAAATGTATTCCCCATGGTAATCTACAAAAAATAAAGTATCCTGAAGATTGGAAGAAAATTAAACCATTTTTTTGTAATAAAAAATGTCTAAAAATGTATTCTAATTGCAATCATTTATGCAATTTGGATTGTCATATCAGTGATTTTCATTCAGAAGAATCCTGTCCATTTTAATGTGATCGAGTAATGTAATGTGGACATAAATGTAAATTATTATGTAAAGATAAATGCTAATGCAAAGAAATAATTGATTTATAATTGTCTTGTGAACACCAAATAAAAACAATTTGTGGAACTAATCCTTAAACATAAAAATGTTTAAAAGAGGTTTAAATATAATATCCTAAATGTCTTCACATAAAAAAATTTATTTGTTATCAAAGGGATAAATATATATATTGTTAATAAAAATGCGAAAGAATTCTTAACTGTGGGCATACTTGTAATAAAATTTGTTATGTTGATTGTGGAAATTGTATGTAGGAATGCAATAAAGTAAGGCCATGTGGACATAATACTATATGCAAAAATTTTTGTTATGAAGATTGTTCACCTTGTGATTTTCCAGTTTAGACTGAATTAGACTGTGGACATACAATTGAATTTCCATGTATTTCATAGAAGAAAGATTAATAAAATCATAAATGCTAATAAAATTGTAGAAAAAAGAGAGAATGTGGTCATTATTTATAAATTTGTGAAAATAAATGTCATGAATAATGTTCCCCATGTTATTTTCCAATAGAAAAATAATTAAAATGTAGTCATTATGTAATTGTAAATTGCTTTGAAGCTAATAATAAAGAATAAGAAATTAGATGTATAGAAGCATGTCAAAAACCAAGATAATGTGGACATGATTAAACCTGTCTAAATAAATGTTATTAAGAATGTTCACCTTGTTAAGTGATGATATCAAAAATACTTAATTGTGGACATTCAATCTAAATAGAATGCTATAAATAAAATTAAGAATATTAATGTTAATAAATATGTACTAGAAAAAGAGATTGTAATCATGATTAATAATGCACAAATTTATGTTATGAATAATGTTCACCATGCATTTAAATAATTAATCACACTTTGCCATGTAATCATAATCATTAATTTGAATGTCATTCATTTAACATCTCACTTTAATAATTTATTTGTCATGAACCTTGTTTATTATAAAGATCATGTGGCCATACTAGTGTATGTTTATCAAAATGTTATGAAAATAAATGCTCCCCATGTTTATAAATAGTAAATAAAAAGTTAGATTGTGGACACATAATAAAAATAAAATGTTGTGAATTTTAATAAACATAAATATGCTAAGAGCCCTGTAATAAAATTAGAGAATGTGGTCATATCAATCTATGTAAAAAATTATGCATTGAACCATGTCAACCATGTGAATACGATGTTCTAAAGACCTTACCTTGTAATCATTAGAGTCTTGTTAAATGTTATTAATAATCCTAACCTATAATTTGTAAAGAAAATTGCATAAAAGTTAGAGATTGTGGTCATTATTATCCATGTACTAATTTGTGTTTTGAAACTTGTACACCCTGTAAATCAGTAATTTTATAGAAACTTCAATGTAAACATGAAATTGATATTGAATGCAGTTAACTTTCTCTTGTTTAATTGAATTATAAATGCTCTTAATAGTGTATTAAAACCAGAATTTGTGGTCATAATTATCCTTGTTATAATATTTGTTACACTAATAATGAATGTACTCCTTGTTAAGCTAATATTTAAAAAGATTTAGTTTGTGGTCATTAATTCTAAATCAAGTGCTTTTAAAGGATGCAAAAATTTAATATATTATGTGATAAGCCTTGTAAAAAATAAAGACCTTGTAAACATAATATATCTTGTCAAAATAAATGTTATGAACCTTGCTCACCTTGCACTAAACTATGTGAGATTGTCTTAAACTGTGGTCATTAAGGAGTTATTAAATGCTTTTAAAAAGATGATTAAAGTGTATTGAATAAAATATAATGTTTTCTCCCATGTACAAAAAAAAGTAATTGTGGTCATAATTCTAATTGTAAAAAATAATGTTATTAAAAATGTGATCCATGCTCAACTTAGGTCTAAAAACTTTTAAATTGTGGTCATTTTTATAAAGCTTTTTGTTAATAGGATCCAAATACAATTAAATGTTAAGAACCTTGTAAAATTAAATTAAACTGTGGTCATCCTTGCTAATAAATTTGTGGAACTCCATGTTTAAGATGTGAATAGATAATTATTAAATTATTCCCAAATTGTTCTCACCAACTTGAAATAAAATGTTATGAAAATAATTAAATTTTCCAATGTTAATAATAAATTTCAGTTATTAAATCTTGTAAAAACCATTTTGCTTAAATTAAATGTTGTGAACAAGATTAATTTATTTTAGAATGTCAAGAATGCAAAAATAAAAATTGCAAAATATTTTGATAACATTGTTTAATTGTTAAATTCATATAAAATATAAATTAATTTTTCAATTTCTTGAAATTAAGAGTTATTGTAAATATAGAAATTTATAATATAACCTTTATTAAATAAAGTTTCACCATAATTTTATTTATAATTAGATATTGATAATAAATAGATGTAAATTGATATATCATAGTTTTTTAATTAAAAATTGAAATTACTCAAACTAAAACTAAATCAGGTCCTATTGTATTTTAATTATATTTATTAAAATTCAGTATTTAATTTTAATATAAAGATTGTAATCATATTATAAATTATATTACTTCATTGAACATATGTCTATACATTATTATTAGTGATTTATTATATTGAATATAATAGACATTTTACAAAAAACAAACATATTGAATATAATTTATTTATTATATTTATCATTTAATGGGAGTTTGCTCTGGGAAACAGCAACCAATTAGACAAAACAAACAACATTTAAGCGAAATAAAAAGATTTGCTAAACAAAACATAAGATAGTTTTACCGATTTGGAAAGGTTTTAGGATCAGGAAGTTTCGGTACTGTAAAAGTGGGTTTCAGTGTCAGAGATTCAAAAGCCTTTGCAATAAAGACTATTCATAAAGTAAACACGATGGTCCAAGTAGTATCGAATGCGAGAATAATTCTACCTTGTACTTAGAGAGTTAGACATCCTTACACAATTGGATCATCCAAATATCATTAAAGTATTTGAGGAATATGAAGATGACATGTATTATCATTTTGTGATGGAATATTGTAGTGGAGGAGAATTGTTAGAAAGGATAGTGGAGTAAGGTATATTAAACAACATTATAATTAATTTTAGGTTATATTGGAGAATCTGAATCCAAAGTTATTATGTAACAATTGTTTTCAGCAATTAATTATCTTCATTCTATGGGAATAGCTCATAGAGATCTAAAACCAGAAAATATTCTGTTTGCCTCAAAGGAAAAAGATGCTCCAATAAAGGTAATAGATTTTGGTTTGAGCAAGAAATTTAGAAATATTAATTAAAAGCTTTAGAGAATGAATAGTAAGGTAGGGACTCCAATATATGTAGCACCTGAAATCATATCCGGAGAGTAAAGATTAATTTAATTATAGTTATTCTTTTTAATGTGATGAATGGTCTTTAGGTTGTATCATGCATGTATTGCTTTGTGGAAATCCACCATTCTAGGCTAAGAAATTAGATAAGTTAGAAGTTTAAATCAAATATTCTGATGTTGATTTCTCTTTTTCTGTATTTGATCATGTATCTTCTGATGCTAAGGATTTGATTAAAAACTTATTAATAAAATAACCTAAAAAGAGAATTACCTGTGAAAAAGCATTAGAACATTAATGGTTTAAAAATATGAAATAAAGTTCACATTAATCAAAATTAACCAATAATGATCATTAAAAAATAATCAGATTATTACATACTTATGCCAATTCATCTAAATTAAAAAAAGAAACACTTAAAATATTAATAAATTAACTTACATAAAGTCAAATATCTTAATTAAAAGAAGTCTTTATTTCTTATGATAAGGATTGCAATGGTACAATCTCTATTTAAGAATTATTATAAATTATGGCAAATCTAGGATTTAAGAAAAGTGAAGAGGAAATTGTTTAAATGATTAAAAAATTTAATAATATTAATCCTTCTAATGATGATATTACCTAAGATACATAAATTACTTATACTTCATTTTTGAGTGCTTTAGTGAATTGTAAAAGTTTTTTAAACAAAGAAAGATTATGGAATCTATTCAAATATTTTGATAGTGATAATAAAAATTTTATTACAATAGAGGATGTGAGGAAAGCCTTTGAGAGAGAAGGAAGACAATTATCTTAATCGAAATTGATTTCTTTATTTTAAGAAATAATGTAAAATGAGGAACAAAAAACAATTGATTTTGAGTAGTTTTGTTAAATGATGTAAGATAATTTATATAACAGTAATCATGATAAAAACAATCTGGAATAAGAATTAGATTGCTTTGAAAATTGACTTAAATATAAATTTATCTAAGACTATTTTTATATATATATTCTAATAATTTATTAAAGTTGTTTATTAATCTTTAATTTAAATATTTTTATTTTAAAGATTAGCTAATATATATGTAAATTATATTATATGATTTGATTTTTTTAATTAATAAAAGACAATTATTTTATTTCATTTATTTTTCTCAAACCAATATTTTATTATTAATAATTAGATTTGAAATTTTTAAGTTAGCAACACTTAGTTTATTTTATCTCATTATTCATTTAAATTGATTATGAGATACTATTAAGATTTACTAATTTAAATATTAAATTCTCAATAGGTGAATTAGAAATTATATATGAAGAATGGTTTTTTAACATGGTTTCAAAGAAAAATTCAAAATGATGAGACCCATCTTTAGAAATAACCATAATATTTATCAATTATGATTATTACTTGAAATGATTTAACTAAGATTATGTTCAAATACACATTAAATGAAAAATAATCTAAAAGCAAATTATCTATTATTAAAATACAATATTATCAATTTGAATTATATTATTATGTTAATTTATTAATCAATTATAAATGAATATTATAAATAAATTTAATAATTTTCGAAGATAATTTCTTTTAATTTTGTTTAAGGGTTTAACAGGAATAATTAAATTTAAGTATTAAAATTCTGGAATAATTCTAAATTGAATTCGAATTGAAAAATGGAAATTAATATATTTTTTAGTTTACTCCATAATATATTATACATATAAATTTTTCTTTTACTTTCTTCTCTTGATAAATTAATGGGGAATTATTCAATAATAATTGAAGTATTTAAGGTTTTAGTAGTAATTTTTACAATAAAAAATTAATTGAAAAATTATGAGCAATTATTTTTTAAATTCAGGACTTAAAAGGGATGGCTAATTGTAATTAATACCTGAACATGTTCGTTTTAATTTAACATAATTAACACCATCTGATGTTGGGATAGTTTAATTTTAAATAATATTAGCAGAACAGGAGTAAAATATCATTGAATTAATTGATATTCAAGATAATCTTGGAAATCCTTTGATAAAAATAACATTAAAATAAAGAGAACTTATAATTCAATATTTAGAAAATACCTACAAATTTCCAATTCAATAAATTATTTTATACAAATTGTATCCAATATTTATATCATTCCATGATGAGATTAATTTGATTACAAATTTTAATGTTCAAAGTTAAAAACTTCAATAAAGATTTGCTTATACATCAAATAAGATGGGAATATTTTTAGGAAGTAGAAGTAATTTGAATGCCTTTACAGGAATAACAAGAAATTTATAGATTAGATTTGTAAGAGAAAATGAATTGAAAATGCAAATAGAAGGTGAAATAAAAATGTAAAAATCTATTCTTAATGATTTAAATGATATTGGATAGATAAAATATAAATTACCATTTAGCAAACCATTATAATCAATAGAAGAGTTAGATAATTGGAAACCTAATGAAGAATATACAATACTTCCAATTTAATAACTAAAGAAAATTACAAGAACAACAAATTAACCTTTATTAGTATGTCATGATATGTAAGGTGGATATAAAGAAGATATTTGGTGTTTTGGAAATCCTATGAGATAAAATAGTTATCGTTTTTATTACATGACTCATTGTGACATTTTTGTTTATTTTTCACATACTTTTATTACTATTCCAACTGTACCATATATTAATATTTGTCATTAATTTGGTACTAGGATATTAGGAACCATTATTACAGAAGGAGATGATAATACATTAACTAATTAAATATTAAATTTAAAATATGTTGATAAACTAGTTTAAATTTGTTAATTCTATAAGTTTGATGGTTATTTATTGAATATAGAAACAAATGTTGATAACGTAGATTTATTTATATAATTTATAAAAGAATTAAGTGATAAATTATAATCAATAGGAGCTATTTTGATGTATTATGATAGTCATAATGCTGAAGGAATTTTAAAATGGTAATCTGAATTGAATGAAGACAATATGAAATACTTTTAAGCTTGTAATTACTTTTTTAGTGATTATCATTGGAATTTGAATAAATTATCTAATACAGAAAAGAATGCTGGCAATTAAAAGAATAATGTATTTGTAGGTATTGATATATGGGGTAGAGGACAATATGGAGGTGGATAATTTGATAGTCATATAGCATTGTAAGAGATAAAAAAAGCATAATTAGCCACAGCCATTTTTGGTTAAGCTTGGACTTATGAGACTTCAAATGATAGTAGATCATAATTTATTTAAAATGATAATTCATTATGGTAAGGTAAAAATACTGTATCTTTATTTGATAAACATAAAAATCAATGGGTAATTACATCTAATGGAGGATCTGGATGGAAAATAGTACAAGAAAATGGAGAAGAGACTGCTATTGCATCTTTTGATTGGTGTATCAGAACTTATACAATTTAATTAAATTTAGTATCTTCAAATAAAGGAGGTATTATATAATTCAATGCAAGAGTAAAAGGAACTGGTCCAAAATTTGAGGATTTATATGTAATTAATAATAATATTATAATTAGCTTATTGGAATAGAATTATATGATAGATAAAATAAATGTATTGCAAGTATAGATTCATTTTCAACAAAGGTTAATAAGAAAGAAATTCAATTTAATGTTGATAATGTTAATGTTGCTGATGATAAATGGAGAGAACATACTTTAAGTATTAAAACTACAGATGATACATAATATGTTAAATTTATAGAAGTAGGAAAAGATGTTGAATTATGGGCCGGTAATTATGGTACTTAATTTACTGGTGAATCTATGGTTTATATTAGTTATGATAGTAATAAGGATCTATTAAGAATGATAAAACCAAAAACTTATTAAGAATTTCCATTATAAACATATTTCAATAATGCTGTTGGAGAAGCCTATTATATAGATGGTCAAAAGTTTACACATTATAAGGGTTACTATGATAATTTGAATGATTTTGATTATTCCTTATGTTATCCTACAAAAAAGATTGTGAGTTAAGATATTCAAGATAATTGGGAGAGTAGTATAACTTTTAGTGATGCATGGAATGGAAGTAGTTGTATAAAAATTAAAGGAGATTTGTAAGTTAATAAGAGTTTTCTTATAAAATTATTCAAAACTAGGATTGATCCTTAAGGTAATCTAAGTGCAAGTATTAATATGAAGAATTTTGATAAAAAGATTTTATCATTAAGTTTAGTTTTTAAATTTGGAGATAAGGGTTTGTAAACTTTTAAACCAACTAAAATATTAACAAATAAGGGTTGGGATATTGCATAATACACAATTTTAAATTAAGGAAAAAGTTTGAAATCTGTTTATCTTAAAATTGAGAATATTTCTTAGTAATAATAAGCAGTTGATGGTTTAATTGGAGGTTTAGCCATTTATGATGATAGATTTACAGAATAAATGAAGATTGCCAATGTAGATTTCAAAGATCCAACTAAATATATCAAGAATATCTAGTTGAAAGAGAGTGTTACAAATCTCTATGATTTATATATCTAATTGGAATTAGGAGATTTATAACCACTCCTTAAAACTATCAGAGTCTTTAAGTATATTATTATGTATTACAAAATATAGTGATAAATAATGGATTGGAAATGTAAGATCTAATTATGCTTATTTCCCTGAACTACCTTTTGATGGAAAAGAAATGTTTGTCAAATTATAGATTATTTTAAATAATGGAAACCACATCAAGGCTGAATCTGTTCTGCCACATATCCTTTATTCAGATTAAGTTGTTAGATTGCCATGAAATATATATTATTATGCATTTAATTCCAAAATTGACTAAATTAAACAAATCTCAAGAAGACATCTCTGCTATTCAAGATTATCTAAGTCAATTACCATAATTTCAAGTTCCCTATGAAGTTTTGAAAGATGTATAAATTAATTTCAAATATAGTTGTCCAAAACAATAGGATATATTTATTTTGAAACTGGTCAAATAGTCTAATAAAATAATAAATTTGCATTATATGTAATTAAAGGATTACTCTAAATAGAAGACAATATATAAATTCTACCTGAAATGTGGTATGATGGAGATTTAGGTTTTGAAGTTAAAGTATTTATTAATTCATATTCAATTCTAGTAAGATACCCATTGTTTTGCTTTACCAATATATTTATACAAAAAGTTTAGCTCTATTCATGGTGTTTAGTATTAATAAAAGAAAAAATCAATAATAGCCAACTTACCTATTATAGAAAAAATTGCTACAAAAATATAATAATAATTGATAAGACTATTCTAGGAGGTCAAATTTGCTCATACAGATTTCATATTAAAAATGGATGAACCTGGAAATGCATTATTTATTCTGCAATAAGGAGTTTTAAGTCTGAGTAAAAACTATTAAAAAGCTCTTTCACATTATGAAAAATAAGTATTACCTAGAAAATTTTGGTTTAATGAAATTGTTATATGCGAATTAATTGATTAAGGTATTTTAGGAGAAGAATTTACTCAATAAGAAAAGGCATTATATAATGTTTAAGTAATATCTAAATCTGCTTCTCTTTTAATGATATCTATGTAATAACTTAAAAATATATCTCCATAAGTTATTTAATATGTTACAAAAATGTTTAAAGATAAAACTATTTTGAGAGATGAGATATTTAAATAAAAATGTCAATAATTAGAAAAGAATTGGTAAAATACAAATAAAGATTAAATGCTAAATTAAGATATATAAAAAACTATATCCTTTAAAGTTTTTTCTAAATAACCTTCTAGTTCCCAAGATTAACAAAGTCAAACAAATGATGATCAATTTGGAGCTCTATTTGGAAATTTATCTTATAAAAAGATGCCAACATTCATTTAATAATACTTCAAATAGAAACATATTAAACATAATAAAATACAAGATCAATATCATTTAAATTATTCAAATTCAACCTCTATAAATCATATTGATTCAACTTTTGACCCATTCATTTTACTTTAAAAAACATCATAAAAAATGATAGTTTAATAATGTTCTTTAAAATAATAAAGTGGTTTTCGTTTAACATAAACAAGATAGATGGATAGAAAATCTGAATTAACAAAATCATAGTAAATTAGACCAAATACTACTCAAATTAATGTTTAATAATAATCTTCTATAGTATAAATTTTGTAATAATAATAATAATAATAATAATAATAATAATAATAATAATAATAATAATAATAATAATATTAATAATATTAATAATAATAATAATCAATAAATTAAATAGATATTGTATCTAAATAGTAATTAAATATATAAAAAACTATTTTATAGAATTTTCATATCCAAAAACCTATAATCAGATAATTAAAAAGAATTTAAAGGAGTTCTTCTGTTCATAAGATAGATAATATTCATAAAAATAAAAGTAATTTTAATAAATATATAGCTCCTAGAGATAATATGTTTTATCTAAATTAATAATAAAATTATTTAGGCTAAAGAAACAAAGTTAACTAATTATTGCATAATTCTATAGATTGATTTATATATTTATATATAATTATAATTTCATAAAGGTGATAATGATTATCTACAACTAGGACATGATAATTTGATTGACATCCACTTGACTAGACAAAGTACATGAAATTTATGATCCTTTTATAATTACATTTCTTTATACACATGGAGTTTTCATATAATGATTTTTTTATTTTTTCATGGCTTCTTTTATCATGTAATTTCGTTCTTCTTAGTTAGTTAATCTTATTGCAGGTACTTAATGAAGTACTCCCATACAAATAGAACATTCCTCATTAAATAAATGCTAATATTATAATGTTATTCATTTTACTGCATATTCTGAAGATGGTCCTTCCTCTAAGTCAAAAGAAGTTGGTATTCTGTAATAGTAATTATATTTTTAAGGAAAACAAATCTTAGGTACAAAAAATTAAGGACCCCATTCATTTTATAATATATGCACTCCAATCTATATTCCTATACTTACAACAATGCAAATGAGTGATATTGGCATTGGTTTTAGAGAGAATAAATTATTCCAATAAAATCGAAAGTAAGCATAATAGATTAATCGTGGCAATAAGAATCCACAAATCAATTTAAAATTAAATCTAACAATTTATCCTCTTTAAGCAGCATGAATAATCTATGGTACTATGTATAAGCTTAAAAAAAATAATAGCCATGATGATAAAACATACTCATAGATTAAATACATGCTGCCAAACATACAAACGTACAAAATTAAGTAAAATTTTATCATTTAATTTCTAAAACTTTAATCATTTCTAACTCTACTTTTCCAAATTATCATTAATATTCTCATTTCAAATATTGAGAATAATAAAAATTAAAGAAAGGATGGAGTTATAAAATACTAGAATAAATATTCTGATTGCATAGCTTAAAAGAAATTCAAAAAACACATGTATAAATCTTGAACCATAACAAAACCTATAGAAAACATGCTATATTCTTCTGGATTATCCATTCCTTCAATCAAAGCTCTAAGTATTCTCAATCCATAAATCATACAACATAAACAAACAACACTATTCAAAAATGAATAAGTTATCACTTAACTCTCAACCTCCTCTGTATTATCTTTAACTGATCCTAAAAACATTTAATGAAAATTCTGACATTATGTTTCTACTCTCACATCCATAATTAATTATTCTGCAAAACTTATATTCATATTATTAGTGATATTCTTTAATTCCATTATTAATTCATTTTAACAACCTATTACTCATATATTTAATAATACCTGTTGTATCATTATTTTTTACTTTTAAAATTAAAGGAGTATTAAAAGTTTTAACATATTCAACAACATTCAGATAAAATTAAAATTATTGTTATGGGTCATCAAGATATGGACTATTAGAAAATAGTACACTTATGTTAAAATCTGGTTTTAATTGACTGTACTGATATACATGGAAATGTGTATAAGTTCTATTTAATTATCCTTTAAAATGTCTTTCAGCAAAAAATGACAAGAATTAGTATAAATAGCATTCAGTTGAGGGTTTATTAGTTGAATTTTCTATTATCATAATAATTCATACAAATATAATTAAGCATATCTTAGTCTCCAGAGACATTAAGGCATTTATTCAGACTATTATGATGAACCTCTGAATCTTCAGTATAAGTTACGGAGTACATGATCATAGCTGAGATGCTCAAGAAAATAAGAAACTTTATTCCTATATGAATGTATTGTGGATCATACGTCTTGTTCTAACATCATTTCCTTACTCTATTTGATTATGTGGCAGCATTATAATAATTTATTTTAAATAATATAATATGTTTAGGAATTATTAAAATTTGTATTTTTCCATATTAAATAATATGATTACAAGTATTTAAAATATATATTTCATTTAAATTATAAGTAAATCTAAGAGATTTTATGATTTGTACAATTCACTCTATTTAGTTTGATTTTAAATTTCTTAAATTCATTATTAATATTAATTCTTGAAAATATTTAAATAATGAAGAAACTCATTTAAACAGATTAAAATATACAAATATATTTAATTAGAAAATAAAACTAAACCAATTCAAGTTTAATTTTTTTCTTTTTATAATCATTTTATTTATCATCATTTCTTTTTATGTACTATTGGGGCATGAATTGGTGTAACTTATTTAATTTGTTGGCTTTATGTGTGTTTATGTGCTGGTGTTTATTAAACAGGTTTATTTGGAACTAATTATAATTTTAATCCATTTGTTTTTGGTTATTCTCTTACACTCATTCTTTCTGCTTATGTTTTAAGTTCATCAATTTCATCAATATCATCATTATCATTCATTTTTGGACTTGGTGATGCAGATAACGACCTTGCAGGACTTGAAGGCAATCTCTAATTAAGTTATTTATCAAGTTTTATGATCATTTAAGTAATTTAAACAAATGCATATGAAACTGAATATTAATTACTAAATTAATGAATTTATTTTACTCTTATTATATTTCATTATATTTTTGAATCCAATAATTAGCTATTTACATGTTTTTAGATGTAATTTAATTTTTATTAATAAACTCCTTAAATTTTCTTAAGTTTTCCAAAAATTTCTCAACATCATTTAAAAACATATGTAATAAACTCCAATTGAGATTCTATATAAATAAATTAATTTACTTTTTCATCTAATAATTCGCAAGGTATCTCTCTAATAAGTCCAGCAAATAAAGAGACAAGAGCAGCAGTTGCAAAAATATTCATTGAAGATGGATTCACCATTTTATGTAAAAGCTAAATAAAAATTAATTATTACACTAAGGGCTCTATGATCAAGAGCATTAACTTAATCTAAGACATATTAAAAAGTGACCACTTATGGTTTAATTGATTATCGATTATAATTACCTCTAAACATAAAATGTTATTAAAATTAATTAATATTAATTAAAAAACTCAGTATATATTTATAACCAATTTTTTTAATGAATACCAAACTAAGAGTTATTTAAACATATTTTGAAATACTATTATCTAGATTTGTTAAATTTTGAATTTAATTTCAACTTTATAATTTAAATATATACTTTAAATATGATTAGATTACAAATGTATAAATAATATTTATAATTATATTTTATTCTCTACGATGATATTTAATAAACTCAAAACATATCTGGTTATTGACTTTACTCTACTGATTCAACTTTTTAATTATCATCTTAGTGATTATCAGTTAACAAATTTTCATCTTCTTTTTATTCTTAATTAACTTCATTTTAAAATTGATTTTATTCTACTTAATGTTAAACAACTTCTTATTCTTAATTAACTATTTCTTAATGATTAACTTATTACTATTCATTCTATTCAGAATGATTTTCTTAAGATTATTTTTCTGCAGAATTTTATTCTTATGGTACTTACGCTTTCTATTATTGTTATTAAAATTATTCATCAGTTTAATTTTAATTTCCAGATTAAATAACAGGTTTAGAACCTTTTTTAACTATTTTTTTATCATCTTATTTATTATCAACTTTCTTTTCAGGTTATTTGGAATTATTATTTTTTTATATTCCATTTTGTTTCTATTCTTACTGTTTTTCATTCTTTTTAGGTTATTCTTTTTATTTTTCTATTTATGGAAGTTAAGAAGATTAAGATTATTTATTAGGTTTAATTTTATCTATTTTCTTTTCATCTTTCTTTTCATCTTTCTGAGGATTTGCTTATTTTTATTGTTAATCTAAATGAATTATATTAAAATTATACCTTAATTTTAAGTTTTTGTTTCTTTTTAGTCTTTTTATTCTGGTTGTTTAACAGGTTTTGGTTTATGTTAAGGAGGTTATTATTATGTAGTTTTAGGTTGCTTATCAACAGATTATCTTGGAGATTTTGGAGTAGCTAATTTTGAATAATGTATTTACTATTATCCGCTTCATTTTTAGTTGTCTTATCTACCAATACACTTTGACTTAAATTCTTGCTTCCTGTTTATGGCTTTTATTCTTTTTATTTATTTTACTCATTTTTTTGTTATATTGCTGTTTAAGGACGATCAGGCTTTTTATGATCTAATTTTCCAGATATAATCATTTTTACCATTATTATTACCATTGATTTCTTACTTCTATTATTACTTTACTTATTCTAATTATAATTTAAATGATAATACTTTTTTCCTCAATTGGCTTAAGAGTAGAAACCAATATTTTGAGTTAACTGATTTCTCCTGTCAAAAATTTGATCTGATCCTCATTCTACTAATCTTTTTATTTTAATTCATCAATTTTCTCAAGGAGTGGTTTGATTGCTTCTTAGAGGTATTGCTCAACTTCTGGAGAAATCTATTGCATATCCAATTTCAAATTTATATTATATTTATTATTTTTTTTCAAAAGAATACTTATTCCTAAAATAAATGTGCGTCATGCAAATTTAATATAAAATTATATTTTTAATAATCATTTAGCATTTTTTTAGGTTGCACTAATTACATAATCTTTGCAAACTGGGCATTATTTTGATTTCAATAACCATTTTTTAATACAATCATAGTGAAATTAATGATTGCAATCTAATCTAATATCAATAGGTTCCTTTTATGGTTAAATCTCTTCCAAACAAATAGCACAATTATCTGTTACATTAACTTATACTCTTTTATCTTCTAAAACAAAAATCTTGCTTTTTAATCCTACTTAGTTTTCTAAATCTAATTAAGTAAAATATTCATAAATTTCTTCTGGAGTCATTTAATTAACTTATTAATCAGTAATCGCCATCCCAGGTTTGAACTCAAATTATTTTCTATCACTAAAGTCACTTATAGCTCTATATCTTTCAGTATTTCTATCTTTTTATCTGATATATTATTATTTACTTTCAACTTATCTTCTATTTTAATAATTAATAATTACCTATTTTATTGATATTAATTTTATTACTATTAATAAACAATTATTTAAGCCTAGTTTGATTATTTTTTTTATTTATATGGATTTCTTATATTTGCAATATTGTCTAATAAAATATTTATAAAAAACTACCTTAATTATTTTTGGATTCTTCAAATAAAGTTTTATTAATTATTCTCTATTATTCTTTAGAAATAGCAGATTATTTTTATTATTACTATTGTTGTAATTATTATTATTATTTAGATTATTATTTATATTATTCATAATCCCTTTAGTTTTACTTTTAAGATTGAATATTTTATTTTACCTCAACTATTTTTGGTTTTTTGCCTTACTGAAGATAACTTTAGTTTTTAGGAGAATTTAAAGGGGGTTAATATAAATTTTAACAAAATTATTAATGATTTAGGAATAATTGTTCTTTACTTGTAAAAGGTTTTATTTAATCCTAATTTTAATTTTATTGAACTTTGACTTAATTGGCATCATTAAACTAGTAATTCTCTTCTTTTTTTTATTCTGAATTGTTCTTATTAACAATTGCATTTTGACTTATTTTATAGTTTTAATTATTTTTTATCTATTCTTATTTTTCAATTATACTCTATTCTGCTTGCTTAAGTGCAAAAATTTAGTGAAATTCTACTTAATTAAGCTATTAAATTTTTAAATGTTTTTGTTAATGAATATTAAAATAAGGATCTAAATTATGCATTTATTATTAATTATCTTCAAAAAGATTAGGATATTGATTTTGTTATTAATTTAAATCTTGTTGAGCCTAAGTTTAAATAGTATTAATAAATGCTTCTTGATTGATAATTTATTAACCTTATTCATTTGGTTCAATATAATGTTATTAAATCAAGCTATGCTTATTTTATTAATCATTTTAATAGATTTATAAATTAACTTTTTATTCTAAATGTCCCTATGGTTTTAATTCATTCTTACTTATTTTATATTGGATTCCTTTTATTCAACTTTGAACTAGAAAGGCTATTTTAATTAAGTTGGACTAGCTATCTTTTAGATCTGAATTTATTATTAAATTGGATTAAATTAATATTAATTAGCTTGATTTAACTATTCAAGTGGTTTTTAGTCAATAACTATTTATTGAATAAACTATTCTTATTTTTAATCTGAATTTTTTTATTCTATATTTATTATTCCAAGACATGTTATTTTATGATTAAGTAGTTAAATAGGACTTATTAACTAGTTACAATTTACACATTTTTCTGGGCCAATCTCATGAATAACTATATTTGTTCTTTTCTATCCCTGCATTTTATAATTTATATTAATAATCTAATAGATATATTAAACTTTAATTAAAATTTGTGTTTAGATGTTTTATTAATCATAATAATCTAGAATCAAATATATCATAATATATGAAGAGAAAATCTATCTAAATTTATGAATTAAAAAAGATCAAATTAAATAGTATAATGAAATAGATTATTCAATAAGATTATCTATCTATTTTAAAAACTAATCTTTTAATCTAATAATGTTTATTATATGTATATAAAATTCTAATAATACATTTAGTATTCTTGAAATTATAAAATTTATCTTTTAATTTCTCTTACTTATAAATCCAGATATAACATAATATTTAAATATTATTCATTTTAGATTTATGTAGATTAAGTAAATTACATAATTATAATTGATAATTATTAATATATTTAATTGTTTGTTGAAAATAAAATAACTTTACAAAAGAATGATCTAATTTAATGATATATATATAATTCATAATCACCACCTTATATGAACAATAAGTGAAGCAATCATTAATGCTAATATACAAATAAATCTAGCTATTTTTCCTAGATTTTTCATTTTACTAATTTATTTAATTAATTAATACTTTCTCAACATGAAATATATAAGTATCCATTAAAATATAATCATTTTTGTACTATTATTATGTTTTGCTAATAAACCATGATTCAATTCTCTAAAATAACCTTAAAATTAATTATTAAAAATATACTTATTCTTTTATCTTTATTAATCTATTTCTAACACCATGTGGTTATAATATTTTTAACTCTATCAAATTCAACATCATTTTATAATTCATGATATCCTTTATCAAACAATTTTAATGTTTTATCTTTTGATCCAGCTAATCTATAAAGTTCAACAGAATTCATATGACTAGCTACTTTATCTTCTTTACCATGTAAAATTAAGAGTGGTTAAACAAATCTAAAAATTATTTTTCAAGTCTTTTACTATTATACATTAGGTAAGATATATTATTCTAATTGTAATATATTATATGCCATTCCAACACTCATAAATGTTTAGACTAGACTATCTTCAGCTACTGATTTGATTACATTGTTGTTTTTACTACAATGACCATAATCAATGTAGGAATTGACCATTAATCCCTATGATTTATTTGTATTATACTGGAATAATCTTATTCATTATAGTGAGTAATGTCTTTTTAAGGATTCCATATTTTTAAGCAAATTGTAGATATGGATTAACAACAATCACTCCTTATAAAATCAAAGAGGGATTCGAAACACAAAAACTTAAACCAACTGCTGCTCCTAATGATTAACATTATAAAAAGATTGGTTATGATCTTTCTATAGTCAATAATATGCATTCCAGATCTTAATGCATTTATTTAATATGAGCATGACTTCTAATCCCTCCAGAATTTCCAAAACCTCTCTAATCATAAAGAATAACTTAAAAGCCTGATTTTGCATATTCATCTGCCACCTAATTTCATCATTCATTTATTATACATGAAAGTATCTTCCAGAATGATCTCCATATCCATGAATAATTACAATAGTGGCAATAGGATTCTATGGAGAACAATATGTAGTATATAAATTCAAACCTTTTGTATATGTGGGAACATATTTTCTAATTACTGTATACATATCTTCATTCCATTCCCCTAAGAATCTATTTGCATATAACTAATTTAATGAACTATTTTATTAATAACCCTAACTTATGCATAAAGATGCTTATTATAGTTATAATGTCTTACAATTTATTTCTTACATTGAATTCGGTTTAGAAAGATTGTAAACAGTTTCTTATTATCCAAAAGAACTGTTGTTTCTTTTCATTTCTTAATAAATCAAATTTATATGAATATTTTTAATGTTAAAAATTATCATTCCAACTAAATTCTTATATTGCTTTAATGTTATTTAAATATGATTCATTATAATATTAGGAATCAATTTTGAACTATTTCTAATTGAATTTTGTATTATTTGATTTGTCTCTAATATTAATTTTGTCTGTTTTAATGGAATTATTGGATTTTTTGATGGAATGTGCTAAAATAGAAAGAACTATTGAAATAAGTAGGTAGTTTTTAACTAAATTCCCTTCATTTCATCCTTATTAGACTTTTAAATAAATTGACCAACATGATGAAGTATTATAAATAATTACAATAATAGGGTTATATTACAGCTTAGACAATATAGATCTTTTTACATAGATTTGGTCATTTACATACACTTAAGGAATGTGGCATATTATTTTACAAACCAGAATTTAAATATGTAGACTTCTTAAGATTTCTACTTCCAACAAATCAACTGTTAAGAGATTATATTTCTCATTCAAATAAAAAAACCTTATAATCAAATGAATGTTTAAAGGAAATAGCAAAACATATAAGTTTAGAAATTGTATTAATGAATAATTTAGAACCACCTTAATCATTAGAAAAATTAGCTAATGGAACTAGAGAAGATATTGAATCTTTATTTAAAAAGGAAAGGTTATTTGTTTATTAAGATGAGATTGATGCAATAATTAAGAGATTAGACTTTTATGGAGATGGTTAAATTGATTTATTATTGTTAAAAAATTGGGTACTTATCCTAAATTAATAAAATAAATCGAAAAATGAAAGAGAATCATCATCTGCATTTGTAACTCCTAAAAAGAAAGTATAGATATAAAATGTTATCAAAACAACTGAAAGAAAAGAATCTATTAATAATAAAACACCTAAACTTATAAATATATCACCTAAAAAAAGAAATTTAATACAAAAATAAAAATCAACAAAAAAAGTAGTAAATTATGAAATTTAGAAATAAGAAATAAGAGGTAAAATAGCTTAAAAGAAATAAGAAGCATAAACTGAAAAGAAAATGATTAAAGAAGTATTAACAAATAAAAAGAATATTAAAAGTTTATAAAAAATAAAACCTAAATCACCATATGAAATTATAGAATATCTGTTAGATAAAGAAATTAAAATAGAAAAAATTAAACAATAATTAGCTTTGTAAAAAGATTTTAACACTTTGGATGCATTTCATGCTTTGGATGTTTATGGTAAAGGATCTATAGGAGTAGAGGAAATAGATACTCTACTTAATTAGAAATCTGGTCAGAGTGCTTATATTTTTAATAGATTCAACAGTGACTAATTAACATATCATGATTTTTTAAATCTTCTATAACCTTATTCTGTTAATTTTGCTGAAATACTTAATACTAGATAATCAAATGTTGATAGAAATCAAAAAAAGTTGAATTAGATATTTAGCAATTAAACTATAAAATTATTGATTGAACTATTAACTTTATTGTAATAAATTCCAGTGAAATTAAATGCAGACATTTCATTATTCAATAAAATTGATAATATCACAAGAGATAATTTTATAGGAGTATCAGATGTATATATTTTTTATTATCAATTTTAGTTACAATAATATCTTTATGAAAGTGGACTTAGATACACTCATCATGAGACAATGCTTCTTATAAATGCTTATGATAAAGACAAAGATGGAAGATTATCCTTATAAGAATTCTTAGATATATGATTTTGATTTTTCATAATTTAAATTTATACTATATATATATATACTAAATTACTAATAATAAAGTATTTAGAGATAAATCTTTTTCTTTTAATATATATACTTTATTTATATGCCAAATATTCTATTTTTTATTGTAACTTTATTTTTTTGTTGGTGTTATTTGGGATTGTATGAGTTGCTCAAATTAGAATAATTAAAATTTATCTGTTATAAAATGAATCAACTGAAAAAACATATCTCTGTCAAATGCATCAATTTTAACACTTAATCTACAAACAGTCGAACAAGAAGTATCTCAAATTAGGTTTCCAAGAATTCAACAGACCGTTCTAGATCTGTAACTAAATTATGCCCTGCTATTAAGTAGGATAATATAATATTAATTATTAGATTGCCTGTCACTACTAAAAATTCAGAGTCGGTCTCTATATCTAATTCAAAACCAGTATCAAAATTAGGAAAAGTGAAAATTGATCTTGGAAATAAAGCGACATCTAGAAGTTAGCAATCAACTTAAAAATCACGATCAAATAGTCAAATAAGTAAAGAAGAAAGCTTTCCTAAAATACTACCTGATTTTGGTAGAATGGAGACTGAACTATTAGATTGTCAAGATTTCATGCTTTAATTACCTGAAATTCAGTTTCCAACTACTGAAGATATAATGAAAGAAAGAATTATTCTTGCTAATAGAATAGCATATACTGTTAAAACAAAGAAACGCATTCCAATTACAACACCAGATTTTTATAAGGTATCGCATCTCTAACCTTAGTAAGGTAGCTCTGTTATGTGATAGGCAAAGGAGCATTTGCAAAAGTATGTTTGGGTATCCAAATATTAACAGGTGCAAAGGTAGCCATGAAGATTATTGAAAAATCAACACTTAAAACAGAAAGTGCTAAAAAAAGATTGTTACTAGTAATTTCTTATATTTCTATTTTAAGGAAATTACTTTAATGAAAATTCTTTCGTAATATTAATAATTTGCTTCTCTTTTTGAAGTCTTTGAAACAAAAAAATAAATTTATATTATTATGGAATATGTTGAAGGAGGTGATTTGATGAAATGGACAAAAGAGAAACCTATTTCTGAAGTATAAGCTAAAAATCTATTTGGTTAATTAATATTGGCTTTATAGATACTTTAAAGTCATAATATATTACATAGAGATATTAAATTAGATAATATACTACTTTAAGGAGAATAAATAAAGATTTGTGATTTTGGAGTGAGTAGACAAATTATTAAAGGATAAAAGATATTAGAATAATGTGGAACACCTGCTTATTTAGCACCAGAAGTAATATCAAATAAAACAGGATATGAAGGATTTGCAAGTGATATTTGGAGTTCAGGAGTTTTATTATACATTTTACTTGTTGGAAAAGTACCATTTAAAGGAAATAATATGAATGAATTAAATCATAATATTT